CATCACTTTTCATCAGCTTTAATAAATGCAGACAAATATAGGAATGGAAAATATTTAAATTTTGAATAAATATTTAAAAGAAAGTACAGTTAAATATAATACAGAAGAGAATAATGATATTTTTCAATAACAAAATATTATTAGTACAAATATCGCTTGTTCAGATATATATGGATGCATGCAGGTGACAATGTTTAATAAAATGTTTTAAGATTACTTTTTCTCATCTTTGTTCAGAATAATTGTTAGGATTTTGTTATCGCGGTCGCGATATTCATGGTCGCGCATTACATGATATCCACCAGTCAAATTTCGGAGCACGCGCCATTAAAATTCCTTAGATCAGTTAGATGTTCGGTAGCATCGCTTCGCGTAGATAATGAAAACGCCGCATGTGTTTTTATAATTTACGGTAGTATCTCTGGGAAATGTCGAAAACAAGTAAAGGGGGAAAGAATGTGAACGTTTGGCCGCGCACGTGGAGTGCATGGAGTAAGTGTCCTCCAAGCAACCAAGTTTCTACTCCATATTATATATAGAGCTCACTGCATGTGAATGCCCTGATGTTAAGTGGCCTTATTTGCAAAACATCCGTAACCTGTGCACTCGTTCACATCAATCAGAAACAGAAGCTGCGATAAAATCGCTTAACTTTTTGCTGTGATTTTTCAGTGCGATTTTCTTCTTTTGATAGATATGAACGAATAATGAGTTACTAATGCTCTGATGTATTTTAGAGCTCTTATTTAAACATCCGTATAACTTATCCACTTGTTCACATCAATCAAAAAAAGAAAATCGCACTGAATATTGCAGCAATCGCAGTGTAAACGGGCGTTAAAGCAGATTAAAGCCATTTAACCAAAGCTTCGACAGAACTCCATTATGCTGAAGTAGCCGTGAAAATAAAAAAAAGTCACTTCCTCTATCACTTCACTAACTCTTTTCTTGAAGCGGATTTCCATTCAGCGAAAAATGTCGCTCGATGGATCTTTTTTTGCGTACGCTTATTTTGAAATATAAAAAGCGCACGAAATCTGCGTTTGACGGCATTTATTGCAATGATTGCATGAGAGCAAATTGTCGCGCGATCGATCTTTTGCAATCGCATTCTTTTAAAATATCTTCAAGCTGAAATAATAAGATTAGTTCCACTTGATGACTGTAATTCAAACGAAAACGATTGAGAAAGTTCGATCGCCAGACATTTTGCAGTGAATGGAAATCCGTCTTATTAATAAGGGGGATCTGCTAAATGTCGCAGGGTCGACATTTTATGATCGTCACTTGTTGAAATGCAAACTGAGCCATATTTAATGAGATTTGTTCCGCTTTCCCAAATTTCAATTTTCAAACGGAACACGTCGCAAAAATCGATGGCGCGCGACAATTTTTTGCTCCCTGAATCATTACCTGATCGCGCATTACATAATCAAATTTTATATCAGCTTTTGGGCAAACCAGCAACACAAAACACAGCGAGGGTATCCTAAAAATTCGACCTTTTGTAATTTGACGAATTTTGGGAATGTTCGTGTTTTACCTTGATTTGGGAATTTATTAGCTGGTATAAAACCTGTCATGATAAAACGAACAGCAATACGAGATATGTCATGTTTCAAATTCGTCTTTATACTGCCAGTTCGAGTAACGGTACTCGTAGGACTGACTAGAGATTACACAGCAATCAAACAAAGGGTATTTGTTGTCAGTAAGGACCAGTAAGATAGAAAGAAACCGCGTGAAATCGCTCAATCGATGTTTTATTTCAATTATTTGGCAGATCCGAAAGTTATAATTAATCCACCATTGACATTGTCCATTCACTCAAATAAATTCCAATCCAAAAGTGTCACAAGGCACGTGTAAAACCAAAAAACTTCAGCATGGGGTACTTTTTTGGACAGCCTGTATAACAAACCATTGTTCAGATCTCCCTCATGACCTTTTAGTCACTCAACCGCGGTGATGGCGTCGGAATGAATTAAATGATAACATGCATGCATCTAATACTAAAGAGATTAAAATCGCATATCATTGTCTGTATTCATTTCTTTGTGATATATTTCACTGTTGAAAATTGTTTGGCCGTGTTTACACTAAAAGGCGCCTATAACTACACAGTATAGCTTTGGACTTGAACGTGGCTTTGGTCAGGAAAACATTGACATGCCACCATGCATGATTTTCTACTTGGCTCGTGGAGCCTGATTATCGGGGGCTTGGTCTATTAGCTCATAGTTTAAACACGGATTTTCACGTGTATACAAATGATGATTGAACAGATGAAATACTACGACATGCATGCATATACCTCATTTTTTCTATGGCATAACTACATGTATGACTCTTATAACTGCTTATTGTACAACAATTATAAACACATTGCTCTTAATTATGCATGGCTATCCTCAAAATTGGAAATAGAAAAGTGATAGCTACAGTATACAGGAAACGAGACAGGACGAAACTTGTAAGCTGGTGTCTTTAAACCCGGAAGGGGAAAAGATGGATTCGAAAGGGCTAAAATCGTCAAAACACGGAATCTTCAAAACACGGAAACCCAATATTAGTGAAGTGTAAAAAACTTTGAAGAAAAATTATTTCTTCGATCCTCTCCCGGTACAGTATAACAAAGTAAACGTACTACTCAGATTGTGCTTTTATCCATCTCAGGTCTATTACATTATATTTATAAGTCACACCCCAGCTTTTAACGTTCCGTCGTGTCCCATTCCAAGTTCCAACTACGTCCCTTATTAATTAATCCCATCCATGGTTTTAAAGATAGCGTTTAATTTTTTTAGGTTATTAATTCAATGAGATTACTTTTACAACAACCAGTGGGTAGCTTAAACCCATTCAACAGGAAATTGTTATGCCTGTTAATTTATTTCCTGATGGGTTAGCTACACCAGTCCATTTTCGGTACTTGATCAGACCTATCCCTTACACCGCCAGAGTATTAAGTTTCATCTGGCGCAGAGGACGGATTTTCCATTGTTTTCCGACTGCCATGATATTCTACAAAATACAAATATTTCATTTGGTAAAAAGGTATTTTAAATTCTAATTCTTTCATTCATGTTGCCTGGATTGTGTCATGGCCTGAAGCCATGATTATGAATGCGAAATCGGATTTGGTTATTGCGTAACTTAAGTCGTTCAAAAGCTGTTTCGGCGTATTCCAGCATATTTGCGCTGCAGATAGATGTTGTAGGACACATACTTTTAATATTAACTTCAAAACATCGATAAAAAAAAGAGTTTTTCAACACAGCAATGCACACAATGGGCAATTACAACTGTAATGTGACAGCGTAAACAAATGCCAAAGTGAGACAATAAGCTTAAATACTGCCTATTGTGTCTCATATTTTGATGATTAGCAAATGTTGTAACCCTGCGGGCGATCACGCGATAGATATTCAGGTAGTTGTGAAACCGGGAAAATAAATGAAAAAATGAAACAGCTTACATCATCACAATTTTCTTTCTTAAGTTACGCAAAGGAACTCAAATGATAATAAAAATATGCTCAGCTCAATGACGGTATGTTTTGCTTTGATACAACACACCCAAACAGGTTCTATCATGCAGTAATATAAAACTAATAAAAGCCATTTCATCAAAACATCAAAAAGTTTGATTCCCGACTTGTCCTGAGGATCGGGGATTCCCACTGCTCGTGACTACTCGCACAAAATGCTTTGCCTTCGTCAGCATTTGGAAGTAATTAATTCCACCAGCAAGAGAATAAATAATACAACGAATCCCCGATTCCTAAGGGACAAGTGCGAGTCGTCCATCTTTCACGCACGTTTTAGCTAGGAATGACGATCATTGCGCACAGTAAATAGCAAACTCTGTTTTAAGCAAACTCTGTTTGAAAAGTCTATTTATATACGCGCAGTCTGAAATAAAGGTCATAAACATGGTTCAGCTATATAGTGTATATAAATATGCAATAGCTATGGCACTCTATACTCCTCTATATCTAAATCAAGCCTCAAAAATTGATGCAATCAGTTGAATCTCTTAATACGCCTTGTATCAAAGATCTTTTTATTCCGATATTGATGATTGGAAGCGCTGATATGGGCTTATATTAAAAATATTGGTAGAATAACAATAGGCGAATAGCTATGTGTTTACCAACGCTCGTCCTGACCTGTTTCATCGACTTCTTTCAATGTCTCAGGCATGAATCCGAGGTGTTTCTTTCTTCCTTTAACCCGCTCTTCTTTCTTCGTCGCTCTGTCCCATTTTGCAAAAGCTTCTTGAAACGTGTTTCTCAATGTTAGTGTTATTAGTCTCGCCTTATCTTCGCGCTCTGCCACGAAAACATGGCATTCAAGAGCACCGTCCACATCAGCGAGAAATGAAAAAATTTTTGGTCGATTTATATTTATGCAACAAAAAGCTATACTTTGTAGATTAAATTCCAGTTTAGCGTTCGTATTTGGGTCTAATATTATGACTCCTTGATCAATCTCAGTCGATATAGTCAGGTCGACTCGTTTTGGTCTCATCTGTGAGTCCTTAAGGAGTTTCTCAACAGCCACACTGCAAAGGTACTTTGCTATATCCTGCCTAAACGTTTCGCCTTTTAAATACACGACTCCATGATACCGGACAGAAAATTCAGGGTTGCCATCAGAAAGTTTGTATATACCCGATACATCACCCGAGAGTCTTCTTAGGTAGTTCATTTTTCAAATCTGCTGGCACTTGCCCGCCCTACGAGATCCGTGCAAAAGAATCAAAACAGGTAATGGCTAATGGCATAACTACATTAATATAAAAAAATAATGTATCATATTACATCTATTGTCTGCGTAAGCGGATTCCAATCGGGTTCTTAGGCAGTCGAACTTTCAATGGTCGCTGTCAGTTTGAATGTTCATAAAATTATGTAAAATTCAGTCCCCGAACATTAGGCAAACAAACACTGTTTTTGTAGCCTAAGTCAGTAACGGAATAGCCCTCTCCCTCTGAGATGTAGGAATAGCGTTAAATGCTATAGAAAGCAGAGCTTGGCTTGTTGTTTTAATTTAAAAATAACTTCCTAAATATTTTTTGAAATTTAATACGTCGATTGTTCCTTTAAAATGTCACTTAATGCTCTCAGCAAGCGGACAGAAATAACTGAAAGAAATTTTCCTTGTGTGTATCAAAGGCGGTATGATAGCGGTGTAAAAGGCGAAAGCGCGCGGATAGTTATGTTTGTATCAAAATAATTTGATACTACCTTGCGCTTAGGTTACCACGGTTAAATCATATTTCTATTTTTTTCTTTTAGATAAGGTCATTTTTTATGTTTATTCAATAAATCAAGCGCATATATGATAATATACAGGTGCATGACATTGTCGTCACGTTTTTATATTTATCTGACATTTCTAACTTCATAAAATTCGCGAAGAGTAAAGCTTGGGACTAGTTCACATTGATTATAAAAGTTATCTCCATCGATATGTCCATGATTAACAGTCACTAACACATGCATATATAATCACTTTATATTTTGCACCGCATTTTTTTTGCCTTGATCACACTTTCGCTCGACATAATCAGCAGCAGGTGAGTCATGCAGGTAATATTATATTTGTATAAACAATTTGAACTAGACATATAGTTAAATGGAACTAAATATAGACTATATCATATTACTATATATAGTAATAATAATAATTCTTTTGGGAACAAAGTATAAGAGTTTTCAGGTAATGGAGAAGAATTTTTCACAAGATAATCAGTAATATCCTTCAAAATCACTCCTGCATGGTATGCAGCCTCCGTCTATACTATTATAAGAAATTCTCTCCAGGCTTATTCGGTTCCGGGGGGAAATCTTCCGAGCTAGGATAGCTTTACAATTTGAAGTTCGTCGGAAGAGTCTTTAATTTGACAAGGACACAAGCTCTTTTTCTGACTCTTGACTAAGCAGACTAACCACTCTCGTTTCAAGAGTAAACTCGCAATCGGGCCTATGGCTATGCTCTTGATCGCCATCTAATGTACATTTAACATTGCTCATAGTTTGACAGAAACAAAATGTGGTTTAGGTTTAATGAATTTTTTTTACTGATCAATTTTCATGCTAATGACTGACATTTTTTAAAGTGTCCGAGATACAGGTTTAATCACATATAGTCATTTATGATATAAAATGCAAGCGCATTCTATATGACGCATGTGACAAAAAGCTCATAGTTTATATAAAACGGCTTCTAAGGATCGCTTTATTACTAGTAGTATTCCTAATATATAAGGAATTATATACTAATAAGTACAAGAAGACCCAGAAGAAATTTCATACAAAAGAATGAGTAGGAAGACGACGTTTAATTACTTTAATATCATGTGACAAATTTTTGTCATATTCATGAGTGTTCAAAGTAACATATTATACATACCTCTGATTCTGTAAACAGATATTTTAGCCCCAATATTATATATCACGTTTGAGCAAATTATCGTTTGGTTTATCCGGCGGGATCACAAGCACGAAGCAACCTAATGATGAAGTATTGAAGTTTGAATATTTCATCAACTTGATACTCTAATTTTTTGTGAATGTGTGTTTCTTAGTTTCTCCGTCGGGAAAAAGTCTGAATTCGTTGGTCTGCGCAGCTTCGCAAGAAATTGTGTTATTTCACTATCATGGTTTTGTCCTGTTGCGACCTGCTAAGTGACACCTCGTAACCATCCAGTGATGGTTTGCGACTGATGTTACTTATGTATGACTGTCACTGAGGATGTGAATGGAACTCTTGGCAAAATTTTTCTTACTGGCTCTTCTCGTGATGAATTTTGACAGATTTTTAGCGACATATTATCCCATCGGCATTTATCATCTATAACGAGGGCAAAACTCTTATCTCTTTTGGCATTACTGATTTCTATTCATTTCGTTTTACTGTTAATGTTTCTGAACTTTGTAATTTCCTTCCGGGTTGCTGTCCTCATTTTTCTCAGTATACTCATTCCACCGATGTTGCACAAGAGCTGCAAGCTGTTCACAATCGTGTGAAGAAATCGCGGAAAAATATCACCAAGTATTACTATTACAAACACGTTTTCAGTTAAAGAGCATATCGAGTTGTTGCTAGCAGTCTCTTGAATGGTTCATTCAAGTGCCTCAACGATTGGTTCATTCAACTGCTTGATCTTTTACGGGAAAAACACGATTTTACGCACTGAAGGAACGAAACGTATTAGTTATTACAATAAATTATATTCGACTTCTATTTTCTAGTCTCCTATCAATGAATCTCACACTCATAGCTTGGGAAATACCGACATCTTGGCACGCGCTTTGATTCGATGAATTTAAATACATGCACCCTGCACCCACCCCTACTCCAACCTCGCAAGCCAGGCTCTTTTACCTACGCTCCTCGCGGCCCACGCTGCGCGAGGAGCGTAGGTAAAAGAGCCTGGCTTGCGAGGTTGCCCCTACTCTAGAGTGCGCCGTGTGAGAGCCATACATGCCCATACATGCTCATTTATTTATTTCTAAATCAGATGGCATACGTCAAAAAATGCTGAAGTTGTTGAAAACAGGACTGAGGAACATGGCAACAACTATGCAGCAAACCAGCAACAGAGCAACTTCTTGATAGTTAATAGTTGATAAGCAACTTGTTTTAAAATTGGCTTCAACAAATCAACAAGCCTAAAAATGCAGGTAATACTTCATGTAATTTCCATAACATGAATACTTGATAAACGATAGAAATAAATTCTGGATATGTTCAAACTGAAACTGTGATGTCGGCGTCGATAATTGGCACATGGTCATTTAGTGTAATAGCTGTTAAAGAAATTGTCTCGCGTTTAGAAAATGGCGACAGCATTTTAGATGCAATTGAAAAGGGAATTAATGGTTTGTTTAGATTTTACAATAATTATTTATTGCTTTTATAAATCCGCGATATTAAATGTAAGGGGCGGCGCCATCATTTGTTGTTAGAGGGGACCCCCTCTATCACCACCTCTGAACAATAAACATTCTACCCAAATGTACTGTGATCGATAATTATGTCAAAAAGGGGACTAGACATTCTTGGTTATAAAGCCATTCCTACATGTCAGTGGTTCATTGGCACCAGGTCTTGCCATTTAATAGAAAACCATGTCATATTTTGCTTGTTTTGAGTTTTTCTGTCTGCTTAGATATTTTAGGACAAATGACAAATAATTGACAATCTGAACTTCCTGGTATTTATTTGCTCCTTTGGCTCCATCTTAGTTGTGGAGGATGACCCCAACACTGGGAAAAATGGAATCGGACGTGGAGGATTTCCAAATGAAGATGGAATCCTGGAGTGTGATGCAGCCATAATGGATGGTGATGGATGCAAATTTGGTGCTGTTGCTGCAGTTCAAGGGTAACAATTACACTCCGCAATGTGCATCTAGATTTGCATGTTCCATTAATTTGCTTTCATTTACTGAAAGGTTTTATATCTCTATTGTACATTTGTACATTATATTTATTCGATTTTGCTTGATCATCATGGTTTCAAGAAGAATTTTATAATTTGAATAAGGCGTACAAGTTAATATTGTATTTAGTATGTAGTATCTCCATAAGTTCTGTTTAAATTAAATCTTAGAATTGCTACTCCTATCTCAGTTGCAAAGTTGGTAATGAAAAGATCTCAACATAGTATTTTGGTTGGTAAAGGAGCTCAACAATTTGCGAAAGATCATGGAGTTCCTGTGTTAAGCAATGAATTGTTGCAAACTGAGAATAGTATTGAGGCGTATAAGGTATAAATTTGATATAAGGACATATGGCGAAGGGCAATTTGCATTTAATTTGCATTAAATAATGAAATAATGAAAGTATTTGCATTAAAGATGGTGAATTCCAAAAAAGGTGGAAAGGAAAAAAGTGGTGAATTCCAAAATCTGGAGTGGACACATCAGAAATCAGAATTTAATAGTAGTACTTGTTTGGTTTTAGGAATTTATGAGAAAGAAGCAGAAGGAAAGTCATGATTGTACAGCCATTGGTCATGACACAATTGGTTAGATTTATCTCTAAATTATTCTATATAAAAAGTAATGTTATTTAAACTCAACTACAGTAAGATCATTGTTCAATGCGCATTTCCCTTCTCAAGTTTTCAACAACAGACAATTTACAGACTGAATTATATAGTCAATAGGCTATGGTAAAGACCAATGAATAGTGAAAAACTGAAAATATTGAATATCTATGGATATGGAACGTAAAAACAATCCATAGAACATTAAAACTACGTAAATGATTTTACAGTTATTTTTTCATCTATCTGAAAAACCTGCCTTTGCGAGAAATATACCCTGCATCAACTCACTGCAATTTGACAACATCAGTAACACGAACAGAGTCACTATAATAACCCAGACTGCGAATGGAGTTTTTTTGTTGGAATTCCTGCATCTTATTAAAATTGGAAAATTTAGTACAATTAACGGAAACGGAATATAATTAGAACTATAATTTTTATAATTTTATAATTGCATAAAATTACATGCCTTTACTTTCAATTATTTTCTTAATTTGGTACAGAATTCATTAATTACTTGATTACATTTTTAATTGCATACCTGAAGTTACACACTCACTATAACTTAAGTCAATGGACACCTTTGACTTTGTCCTGGGTATTTTCTTGTGTAATTTATCTCCTTAGGGTTTTATATCTCTTATATGTAATTTGTATGTATTCTTACCTGAGGCACTGTACTGATTGTCTGATTCATGCTATTTTAATTCCAGGAGTTCTTGTGAAAGATTTTCAGGGCAATTTTGCTGCAGGTATTATTAGAAACTCGAAGAATTCTTTATCCAGGCGATGCAATGATGTCTTCAAAATATGATGCACAGCTAGAGAAAAACCTTTTTCCTTTAAATCACGGCTTGTAAGGTCGGATTTATACATTTTTTCAAAAAATGCAGGAACCTCAACAAGCGGTATGCCATTTAAATCTTGTGGTCGTGTTGGAGATTCTCCACTCCCGGGAGCTGGGCTCTACGCTGACAACGAAGTACGTACAATGCCAAAATCCAATACTTATGCATCCTCGTTTAACTCGATCTTGAGGAAATTTTGTCCCTGCTTTTGAAGAGCATCAAAACCACAAGAGAAAAAAATGAAAATGTGAAAAATATGGAATGTAGAAATTGCTCTGCTATAAAGGCGGAAATAATCGATTTCAAAAGTCGTATACATATAGCTAGCTACTGTCATTTTATGATAATTTGACTTTTTACTCATACCTATATAGGTCGGTGCAGCGGCAGGTAAGCATTTTCATTACTTTATACAATTATGCAATTTACGATCTTATCTGTCACACAACCGAAGTGTTAAGGTGTGTTAACATCCATTTAATTGTCTTGAAATATCATTTTGCTAGCTTTCATGCTTATTTCCTCTGGTGAGAGTTTCATTTAGACTTTTCTTAATAGCTTCTGGTGATGGAGACCATATTTTACGATTCTGTCCGAGTTTTCAAGTTGTCCAGCATATGAGAAATGTAAGTGTGGTTGGAATGTACGCATTATCTTTCAAAATTCGTCCGCCGTATATCCCACTCTGTACCACGGTTAGTTAACTCTAACGTCACAATACTTTCATAAACAGAAGGCAAACTAGAATTATCAGCTTTTGAAGCAGGAGAATTTTAGGGACCACGGGGCAAAGATCCTTAAAATGATATCGGCGATTATATCCAATTCGGTAAACTGCTTGTATATGTACCGCACTTTCCGATAAAAAGTTAACTCACACCCGAGGGAGAAATCGATATTTCAAAATCATTTTGAGTATAGCGATGATATTCACCGCCGGACTATATTAACAATCTTATCATAGGGAATGCATCCAAAAGAAGCGTGTAAACGTGTCATCATGGATATTTGGAGACGCGTTGGAGAAAACAAAATGTTTGAAATAGCTCTGATTGCTATCAACTCAGAGGTTGGTTAATACCGGATCGTTCCCCACATTATATTCAAGTTGTACGAAATATTAGCACTATTCACCTGCGACTGGCTGAGAACATATAGTAATGAAGTTTTTCGGTAGCTACTTTAGACGAGATTTATAGTTGGAGTTATTTGATCTCTTTTATTTTAATATTAATTTAGCTTTTAATGCTCGTCTATAGGGCGAAGTTGGTATGGCTAGTACGGTCAATGAATCTGCAAATAATTTTGGACCTAATCCTTTCCCAGGATTTGCGTATTGTCTGTGGAATAGCGAGCAGAAACGATCACCACGTGTGCTTTGCGAGCCTCCACTTGTGTGGAGTGATTTTCAAAACGAAAAACCATAACTGTTTGCTTAACATATGTCTTGCTGTATCCGCACTTTATCCAACCCAGTGAACTGTAACTGATCCAACCTCAAGAATGTTCAAACAACAAGAATGTTAAAAACAAACAATTTTATCCTTTACTATGATACAAACGTGGGCTATGCAGTAACGTATATATATATAATATAACTGCATGTGCGCAATTAAAGTCTGTTAATTGTTAAATCCATAACGGACAAAATAGTATAAGTCATCGTCAGTTATATTCCTTGTTTGTTTGCTTTAAATATACGACCCATATAGACGCCCTTTAGGAAGAAGAGCAGGTGAATGATTTCAACAAAAGTTTTCCGAATTTCTGTAGTTCTTGTAAATTTATAGTTCAGTATGAGATCATGTAAAAATATTAGGGACTTATTATATAATCTCGCTTGGCCGAGTTGTCGCTTAAACCGCCTTAGTGTAGCAACCTCCCAGAGTTCCACATCTGCGGAAAATCTTGCGAAGCTGTGTTTGTATGTCGTTACTCGTCACTCGTCAGTATTTTTCAAGTACGTTCAGTAAAAATTAAGATGATCTAAAATCTTGACGAATAATTCATCTTCGTCCATTTGCAGAGAAATTAAATTGTCTTTGACCGCTTCAAAGTCACTTTCTTACATGGTTTTTCAGCAGTATTCTGCCTCTGAAAAAAGTTTGAGAACATGTAATTGGACCGGAGCTATCGTTTCAAAGTCTCAAGCAAGACGATGCAAAAGATATTTCGATTACAGTGTTAGGGCTGAAGTTTGTTTGGAGCTGTCGTGTTACTCGGGTAGCATGCAAAGCTTTTTTTTCGAAATTAAAATGTCTTGTTTTTTCGGGCTAGCTAAACTAACGCTTGCCCTACAAAAAATATAAAGTTGACTAACAACTTTTTAAATTGTAACACTGGACCAATAAGGGATGACCAAAAATGGAGTAATATTACTATATACTAGTAAAGTGACTATTGTGATTGCGGGAGTATCGCTGCGTGAATGTATACGCATGCGCGTGTATTTCTAAATATTAAATTGAACATTTTGACTAAAATTATAGGCATATCATAACAGTTTCTTTAAATTTGTTTTCAAAATGTAATTTTCAAGACAGATAGCAAGGAGCACCGGTTGAAATCCCAAGGGATGAAGTGGTGCTGCGCAGCAGTGCTGCCAGTGCAAAAATTTGATTAATTAAAAACCAGTTGTCTTGAGTTTCTTTCGCTTTTTTGCCAACATTGTTCTGAATAATTTGCCATTTGCCAGTGATTTGCCATCATTTTAGTCGTAGACGTAGACTGCAATTACGCACATGATTGCTTAAATAATTTGTATTGCCTCACGAGACGCCACGACAAAACATGCACGACAAAGCATGAGCTGTCGCGGGCCAGAAAACTTTTGCGGAATTGCCCACGTTCTTGCGATCAATATAATCTAATCAATCCAATGTTTCTACTAATTAACAATTAGACAACGAGTCCGAGTTGTCTATGAGCGAATAGTCAACGAGGCGAAGCCGAGTTGACTATTTGCTCATAGACAACGAGGCCGAGTTGTCTAATTGTTTTAGTATAAACTATAACATTAATTTACAACTAGGAAACACAATATAAAATTCTTGTTGGCTTGCAAACCATTCTGAAATTTATTTCGTATATTAAAGGAAGAAAATATTTTAATTGTTGTTCGCGTAAAATGTTTTAAAATTCAGTTTAAATATAAAAATTCAATTGAGTATACGTTATTTTTATGTATTTTCTTACCCTTAAAAATTGCAATTCCGTATTTTGTTGCTTTTTTTGTTTTTTCTGGTACGGAATTGTCCAACAAGTCGTCCAAAAAATCTTCAGATACTTCGGCGAAACGCGAATTTTCCGCCATTGTTTTGAATTTTGCTACTAGTAGGCTATCACTAATAGCCTACCAGTAGCGTAGCCAATCAGAACGCAGGAAAAGTGATAGCCTATTAGTCAGTTTCTACTAATATTATAATATGACCAATTTTCAATTGACGATGGACTGAGGAATGAAAGTATTTCTGTGGAAAAAACTGTACTACCCAAAAATTTCAGCCTCGTTGGGTTGTTCCACCCTCCCAATTTGTGCTCTTGTTCGCCGTAAAACAGCGGTAAAGCCATGCAGTAAAATACATCCATCAAAGAATTCATCTATCTTCCGCTCTGTCAAAGTCCTGCCTAAAGTCTGACTGTTGCTGTGTTGCAGGGCTCCTCATAATTCCCTGTAACAAATTACTGTAACTCGTTGTTATGCGTAATCCCGAAATAATGAAGGAGTGATACACAGTCATGACCCCAGCCTTAAATACTTAATTAATACCATGGCTATTATATCTATGATTAATACCTACGTGACTACGTAATGTCATAGAAGGGTGGTGCGTCTAGAGTGGTGCGCCGTTAATTCATCACTGGCGTCAAATTCCACATTTCTTTCAGTAATTTGATCCAAAATTGGATACGCCAAAAATGTGCAAAGTACAAATACTGCCTGTTAAGCTTAAGTTGGCTTTTTTCGAAGGCTATTCCGCTGAGAAATAAAAATATGATTTATGGAATGACATTCTTTGTCTTTATCCTGCTATGGCTTTATCCCACAATCTCTTCGAAAGGTGAGTCGGTGTTGTATATTCAATCATATGATTCAATTCAGTTCAACATGTAACTCGAGATGATGTCGCAACTCGCAATTATATTTAGACTGAAAATTCTTATGAATTCTCTGGGCTGCGGTAAATAGTTGCGTTTATAATTTCAAGAGGCGAAGTATACTGTGTCAACCAATGGATTCAATGCTAACAAAATAACAAAAAATCAAAACAGTCAGCATAATACATTGTTGACAAATGAACAACGTGCTTCTACTAAATTTTTGAACTCCTGCTGAATACCCGATTATTTTTGTTCTCTGGCGTTAACAATAAATGTATATAACTGTGTTTATATTTCCGAAGCCTTCCCCAATTAACGTAAGCCGTTTGAATATCAACTATTGTTATTATTAAACTATTCAAACACGATTATTTAATATTTGATGAAATGACGCATAATAATAAGTCCCATCGACGGTGTGAAAGTGGGACTTTGTTTTCATTGTCCATTTCCATCTATCTATCGCTAAAGTGACAAGAGGTAGCTGTGAAATGGTCTAGGTTTATTTTGCCTTTTGTCAGTTTTGTGTGGGGTACGCAGATCAATATTTACTCATGGCCCCAGATATAAAAGGAAACCATTTTAGTCTTAGACTTTTACATCCGTCGCTTGACGACGTTTAGCGACAATCGCTGACGTCATGAGTTTACTGTTACTGTTTTAGGCTTTACTGTTTATTCATTGTTACTGCTTTAGGCTTTACTGTATACATGTTTTCAGTTAAATATTTTCTTCTAGAACAAAGCATATTTTTGCACGCAAACACCAGAATTGTTGGGGATCAGCTGTTTATCTCCTGGAATGTCAACACCCGACTACCATATGAAAACCAGTCCAATAAAATTAATTTCCAAGTCAAATACTGTCCACTGAAAATCATATATCCACAAAATTGCCGGGGAAAAAACATTATGCTCTGCAACGCTACCTACCAAAGACTGCAAAATAATGCATCAAGCAGCAGCAGCATCAGAGGAGAGAAGGAACAGTTGGCCAACTACATACGAGATTCAAGTCCTCGTTTGCCTTTGTTTGAGAAAAATAGTTCTGTGAATATTCGCGGAGAATGGAACAAAACTGGTTCAGCGTTTATATGCGCTGTGCGTATAGACGAATGTGCAGTTGCTTACCCCACAGTTCCAACCAAAGGACAGGTCATGATAATTTCGTCGGTTGCCAATTACACTGAAGAAAAAGTTCTTCTTGATATAAAACAAAATAAAGGTCTCTTTTTTTTGCATCGATATGTATAATACCATCATTCATAGAGAAAGGCTCTCCGGATTAATATATAGGATTTTGCATCATGATTAATCATCACAAGCGTACGGGCTTAAAGGGTTTGGCAAACAAAAATTACCAGACCTATCGGGAATTTGAACACAATTTCCGACTTATCAGGAATTCTGCCCAGTAATTGTGATATATTTCCCTTCAACTTGTTTTTAGTGCCATCAAAGCACCTTAATCAACCAAAGGATATCGTTTTGATTCAAACTGACAGAAAAACAGTGATTGTTAAGTGGAAAACCTGTCCTTACGACAATCCTGGAGGGTTTCATATTGGGTTTTCCCTAGAAAGTACAGGGGAAGTATTGAAATGCGGGGTAAGTTGTCCATGCAGCAAATGTACGTGATACGTTATACAATTACCCCCCCCCCCCCAACCCTCTAAGTATGATTTTTTCAAAAGATCCTGTATTCTATGATGCGTCATGTGTGTGCATTTGTGATTTTACAAGTGATCGAAATACTCATCGTCAAAATTAGGAAGTAAACATGATTTAAAAGTCTCCAAAAGTCGGGCTTTGTAAGGAATGTAAACCTATGATTTACGAATTTTAAAACGAATCGCATGAAAACGTTGCGATCAATGCAACTCAGGCCTCCGGTAGGAATACGCTATATAGCTATATGGATATTGCAATAGATTCAATGTAAGCACTTACGTTGTTTAGCCAAGGTTAAACAAGGATGAAGCCTATAAACGTGAATGGAAATGCAACTGCAAATTTGATAATCTGCGAGCCTACACGAACTATACAGTAAGCGTACAATCGTATAAATTGAAGTCACGAAGTCTTGCTGGTGTAAAGACGTTTAGGACAGACGAGCAAGGTAAGTTGCTATATGACGATGTATTGTTTTTATAAACCAAGAGTCACACGCAGGAAACTTGATAGAAGTGGTGGAGAAAAAAGTATTAAAACGTCATATAAAACTAAACCGTTCCTTACAGCACCATCCTCACCGCCGACCTTCGAATGCGTCGTTTGCAGAGAAAGTAACTACGATGATTTCTACAGGATTATACATATGCGATGGAAGGTAAAACGTCTGTGACACTACAATTTTTTTGACAATTATTCATAAAATTTGAGCCCCGTGCCCCTTCTTTCCACCCGATTTTTATTACTGCATGGTGTTTAACGAATAGAATTAAAGGCGGGTGTGTTGCAGCAATGGTTTAGAGAAGTTGCTTTCTACTGACTTCGATAAAACCAGCTTTTATAGGTTCCAGGATATTCACATTTGGGGGGTGGGGCAAATACTTTACTGGGTGGCAATGCAACATGAACGGCATCCCGTCCTTATGCTCCTTTTCACGTGACTTTGGTACTTAGCTATAGCCCTGAAAACAAATAAATGCATACGGTTGCGAACTTAGACATTGTTATTCCATTATTTTTTATAGCTACCACCAGCATTACAATTGAATGGCTTGGTGCGTCAAACTTATATCAAATACTGGGAGAGAAATAAAGGAAGAGCTAATAAAATCGTAACGTTTCATACCATGACAACAAATGTATCCCTAAAACTCAGAATAAACATGGAATATTACGTACAAGTGCGAATTTGCACGCTTCAAGGACTTTGCAGTGAATACAGTGATCCAAAAGTCATATATAAATCTCCTGAAAAAAACGTAACTACGATTTCTACCATCGTTAAGGCCAGTTCAGGTGAGAATAAAAAAAATATTTATCACGATAGCCAATTAAATATACGCGTATGCATGTGATCTCAATTTATCCGGAGTATTAGCAATAATAATTGTTATGTTGCCAAGAGGTTTCTCCACATTTCGACCTAAGCCCTTAAGGGCCCGGGCTTATTTCATGAGATGTTTAGTCGAATACTAACTCTTCTGGTGAAGGCCTTAAACAAAAACCGAAACATCAAAAGGAAATTGTATTTATTTTAAGGACTATATATATAATATATATATATAAATATATATATATATAATATATATTAATATATATATATATATATATATATATATATATAGGATTCAAAACATAGTTTATATTTACTTCATTATTTTTGTGGTTTATAGAGGATTCTAAAATCCGGACAACTGTTTTCATTGTCGTAATTCTATTTGTTACTGTTCCTCTGTTTTTGGGTTTGTTCGCTTTTTTTTATTGGAGGTAAGGAAATTTGTAGTTAATATATAGTAATCTGAATAAGAGGTGCAGCCAAGTTTTTATGCACGATTTACATGGTGCCTTCGCTGGAAATCATCGATTGTTCAGAGTAACACAAGTTTAGCTGTTTTATGACGTTTTGGCAGTCAGTCAAGCGGTTGCCAATCTTAATGCATGATACAGGCTACTTCCAAGACCGAGTTAATTCTAAAAGTTCTAGGGATTTAAAACTTGCTGCATGTATATATATATATATATATATATATATATATATATATATATATATATATATATATATATATAATATAATATATTATATAATAATATATATTATACATCAATATACAAAAAAGTAAAATGAAATAATAACTTTATTTTACGTTTCGGGGCAAGCCCCTTCGTCAGAAACGAAAAAACTGTTCACCGTCCTTCAAACCTATATAGCCTAATTACCTGAAAATTAGCATAACCATACACTTAACAATCTTTCCTCTCATTTAAACCTAATGGCACATAACATTGAATTTTTTATATCCAAAACCTTTCCCTTTCGGTCGGGTTATTAGCATTTGTATTGTCAATAACTCGAACCATAAAATCTTTTAAACCTGAATGACCTTCCCCATAGAAATGTGCATACAATTGTTGACCGCAAATATTCCTTTTTCCCTCCCCATATCTATTCAAAGAGCTCTTATGGTTATTAAACCTCAATCTGAAAGGTGTTATAGTACAGCCCACATATTGTTTGCCACATTTCCTGCAATCTACTAGATATATAACCCCTTCTGAGTTACAATCAAAGTGATGATTAATGTGAAACGTACGACCCTCTACAAAGCTTTTAAATGTAGAGCCTTCAATAACATTTTGGCAAACTTTACACCTTCTACTTCCACACTTAAACATCCCTCCAATTTCAATCTGCTCCCTAGGCAATTTGGATCGCACTAAATGGTCCTTAAGGTTTTTTGCTCTACGAAAACAAATCATAGGAGGTTCCGGCATGATATTAGAAAAACTGCTAGACCAACCTACAATCTGTTGCAATTCCCTAAAGATACCGTACAGACTTTGTAAAGCCGGATGATAATCAATTACAAAAGTGTTTTTGTTTCCCCTTTCAGCCCTTTGCTTACGTTCTATTAAATCAATCCTGCTAATATTTTTCATCCTACTAAACTGGTTCTCCACAAAATCTCCCTCATAACCCCTCTTAACTAGAAAGCCCTTAAGATCCCCCAATCTTTCCTTTAACTGAGTTTCACTACCGCAAATACGTTTCAGTCTTAAAGCTTGACTATAGGGAATTCCTTTCTTGACATGCGGTGGGTGACAAGATCTAAAATTCAAATATTGATGTGCATCAGTAGGTTTAGAATGCACATCAGTTTGAAACGCCCCATCATAATCATCACTTTGATTGTAACTCAGAAGGGGTTATATATCTAGTAGATTGCAGGAAATGTGGCAAACAATATGTGGGCTGTACTATAACACCTTTCAGATTGAGGTTTAATAACCATAAGAGCTCTTTGAATAGATATGGGGAGGGAAAAAGGAATATTTGCGGTCAACAATTGTATGCACATTTCTATGGGGAAGGTCATTCAGGTTTAAAAGATTTTATGGTTCGAGTTATTGACAATACAAATGCTAATAACCCGACCGAAAGGGAAAGGTTTTGGATAGAAAAAATTCAATGTTATGTGCCATTAGGTTTAAATGAGAGGAAAGATTGTTAAGTGTATGGTTATGCTAATTTTCAGGTAATTAGGCTATATAGGTTTGAAGGACGGTGAACAGATTGTTATTTCGTTTCTGACGAAGGGGCTTGCCCCGAAACGTAAAATAAAGTTATTATTTCATTTTACTTTTTTGTATATTGATGTATATACAAGTATGTTGAAAGGCTGGCTCTTGTATATTATATATATATATATATATATATATATATATATATATATATATATATATATACATTTATCGAGAAGTGACGCTTACTTGCCCCACTTGTTCAGTTCATTGCGCTGAAGTAGGTAATGTGATCTTTTGCAGAAAAACAAGACGTGAAAAAAGAGCGCTAAGCGTCAGTCGCCTGGATGATTTAAAAGTTAGTAATATTTGATTTTATAGTACTTTAGCTCTCTGCTCCCACATTATTGGATACCCACTTAAATTTGGCATTCCATTTTTGATATTTCTAAAAACATATAAATATAGTATTTCCATTCATTTCGTCGGTTGTCTTGTGGGGAATATATTTCCTTTTTGGGTACAAATAAAAAATGCCACCATTCATATATATTAGAATAAGATAACCTTAATAGTCAATTTGTCACAGTTTTGTGGAAAACACGTTTTAGTTAATGATTTGAAAAAATTCGTTGAAAAAGTAATCATTTTGCCTATCAATAAAACAGTTTTTAGCCATATTTAACCATGCACATCTAAATTATTCTTTTTTCTTGTTCTAGTTATCTGAGAACATTGAAGACAGCGAATGCGGTTCGAAAAATTCTGGATTTTCAAGGCGGAGTTCTCTTACATCATCTGAGTACCATGAACTGTCACCAGATATCCAAGAAAAGGAAAGCAGCGACAGAAATCGGTCATGTATAACTAGTGAACAAACTGAGCAGACGTAGCGCAGTTATATAAAGAAGCTCGATGATACCGTGTGGATGAATGGAACCGAGTAAAATGGGCCGCTTTTACCTCTATCGTTGTTACCACACTGGAGAGGAAACACAGCACCAGAGCTCGAAAAACGTTTAACAAATGTCCAAAGGTCAAAACGTCGAGAAAATTTCTAGTAGATTATAAACATGCAGTTGTTAAATACTGCAAGATACCCCGTGCAAATGCATGATCTGATTCGTGGAATAGTGCTCAGGAATAGGTTGAACTTTACAACCAAGCCCTCATTTTCCATTACTATTTGGAAAGTATTTCACACATGCACCACAAGATTAAAAAGGCTTTAAAGTGTTTCCTGGTTGAAGGTCTACGGTTTTACACATAACATAGTAAATTGCACACTTTGTTGTAAATATTTCCTCGATTCCTCTAACTCCCCTGCATCGATCAATGTTATAGCTAGCCTGTTAGCCCATACATACACATCAAATGTTACAACTATTGAACACATAAGACACAATATGCTGAAAAGATCTTTAAGAGACATACATCATCTTTAAGAGACGTTCCACGGTTAGGGCAGTGGAACGAACTTGAAAGTTTTCAATACAATTAATAATAAACAAAACATTTAGAATTGGTACTACCAACTTCTGTGGAATAATCTTTTATCATTTTCATTTTGAAAATTTACAGATTCTTTAACTTGCTAATGATTGTTATTAGATTCTGGGACATGTTGTGATGGGCATTGAGAAATTGTTAAAATTATGTAAACACTAATTATACGCCTGTATAAAAAAAGCTCACTCACGTGCACTCATTGAGTGTGGTATAGAAATTGTTTAATCCTTTAGTCATGAAATAGTCCTTTCTTAGACAGTAAAAAGAAAGCTCGATTCGAGTAGAAACACCGTAAAGAAATCTATGAAATGATTGCATGAGATCTTCCACTCAATGAGCTTGAGTGTGAGTGGACTTTTAGAATACAGTCGTTAGCATTTAAACAGGTTGTTCTATAATAAGGTAAATAATTTCTGTATATATTTTTAATTTTTGAAACGAATGGCTAGAAACACAAGACAGTGGAAGGTTTAAAGAACCTACCCTAGTATAGAAATACCCTCGTCCTTTCTTATTTATTGAATAAGGTAATTAAAACTTTTCGGGGTTCCTGTTATGCACTCGGTAAGCTATAGCAGCAAGCTACAAATAAAACATTTTTAGTTCTTTAGCGACATTCAATCAAATAAAGTTCTATCATCAAATTTTATTTCTCGTCGGTACAAGTAACCATTTTGACATTTTTCCTTCTTTCTGCTTACATTAGACGTACATACTCCAATACTGAGTAGAAGATCTTGGTTAGTCGGGCATTTTTCATTTAAAAAATCATTGGTCCTTCCCCATACGGATTTCAGGTTTTCACACTATATATATATTTAAAGTCAAACTAGCACACGAACAAATAAAACTTTTAAGAGAAAACTGCTGATCTGGTTGGGGGGATTATATATATACATTGTGTACTATAGCATAGTATTTATATACTCTATTAATTTTTTTTTAACTAATTGGAGACTAATTTGTACAATTGATTCGCACCCTACACACAAGAGCAGATAAAACTAGTGCATGACTGAGTACCTTAGGTAGTCATGTGAATTAAAAACAATTTTGCAATAGCTTTTTTTGCTTTTGCCTACTTCTTATTTTGCAGCTGCTCCAGCCGTTCACGCTGCACGAGGTGAAACTATTTGCTTAGTTTTTAGTCTCCCACTCTGGCGTCCTAAAACAAACGAATTTTAGTACTTAAATGTCAATTATTGTCTACGTTACGTGGGTCAATATTCATAAAACATGCATGGAGTTTTTGTGGCGCAGGTGATAACACAATTATAACGTCTGGTTGTCTTGCTTATAATTTGAAATAGGCAAACATTGCATGATAATAACAATTTTATGGAGAGTTGTGTGCGTAAATGTGGCGTAATGGCATGATATAGTTGTCTCATATTTTTTATATTAAAAACCGTTCAAATCATGCTTGCAGAAACTTTTTCAATAAAAAATTAATGCCCTTTGCTTTGGAGTAACGTAAGTGCAATTAAAGTACACGTTTTCTTTTCTTTTGAACTATAGCGGTGAAATGCCTTTCGTATGGCATGCATGGCCGAGATTCAACCCTGAGTCAACCCTGGTTAATATTTTGTGTTGAAAACAGAATATTTCGTGTTGAAACAGATTTTTACATTGATTTCTAAAATTGTTTTAATGAATATACTTCTTGAGGGTTAATAATGGATGCTGTATGTGATTAATTAGAACAACCATACGGCGTTCTGATTGGCTAAATTCTCTCGCATCTAAAGCTTGCTTATATAATCATAAATTATATGGATAAAAAGCCATGAATAATTTGGATAAAAAGATTGGAGTTTAAAGTTTCAATTTCTGCGTTTTGTTGTATTTGGGCAGATGAGCAAAGTTCGGTCTGGTGTCGGCTTGTACAGCGGAAATTCTCGCGCGTAGGTTGCGCTTTCGTATAATATTACTGTGATCTTGCGCCTATATATACGTCCGATACATTCATAATCGAATAGAACCAACAATTTGAAGACAAGTAAAGTCGTTTTGTAACAACGGGACAAGCTGCTAAGTGTTATACGGCTTTTGTGTGAACCGTACCAACGTGATACCAAACAGTATGTATAATTTGATGAGATGCACGTTTCTGCTTATTATTGGTTCTGTTATGAACAAAGGTTAGTTGGCTTTCTAGTGCATGATCAGCTACTTTTAGTTCTTTATTACTCCGTGCACACGCAAGACACAGCTGACTGCGGTCAAACTCAACTGTTCACAGGGACGTAGCCAGACCTCTAAAACAGTGGGGAGCCCTGGTGCTTATAGTTCTGGTTATATGGCAATATTGAAATTCGAGAAAGTATAACTAATGTCGACCAAACAAGGTTGAAAATTATATTTGAGTAATAGGATGAGTTAATTTGACCGCACAAATGCCTACAAAGTTCAGCATTTTGAACGCTGGTTTAAACGCACATTACAACCCTACTGATGTCAATGGAAAATTAACCAGGAAGATTAGGCATTAGAGGATTGGCGAACTCCTTGTTCAAATGCTTAAAACGTTAAATTACAAGCCTTGAATTATGCTTGACTGACTTTCCTAGTTAGTTTTTATTTAAAGAGTAGTAATCCACCTAATCATTCCATTACCGTGCATTACAATGCATCAGTAAAGTAAATATACATTATGTTTAAAAGCTTAGCAATTCAACTGGCGAATTTTGTTTTAATAATTACAGTAACTTTCTTACATTAAAGAGTTCAGATCGTATTTTCCTTTTTCAGAAACATCAGTTTTACCTGGCCAGTGTCCAGAAAACAGAGCAGTTAAGATCCCTCCGTTCCGGTCCACGGGTTGCGTTTACTCCATGAAATTTTTGGTTGTTCACGCACATTTTCATTCAGATAGAAATTTTGTTTGCGTCAAATTATTATAGTCTATATACGAAGGAATTAAAAAGCATCACGAGGAATTAAAGAAAGAAATTCATCGAAAAAATAACGATGAATCCCATTGTACCTACCCAAGGTTTAAGCCCTGTTTACACGACACTCCATACCATGTTATACGTTACTCTTCGCTACGAAACACTCACACTTGGTGAAACTGATGAAAAACTGGCCTCATCATGCATGTCACCTTTCCTAGTAAAATACTTTTGTCGTTTTAATTATGTTTTCCTTGCTGTGTCTACCAGGATTTAGCACACCATTGGTGAATGATAATAATGATGCGAAGGCATTCACAAAAAGAAGTTTAAGCGATTTTGGATCAATGGTGGAATGTGAAACGAATAATAACAAATGGATGTATAATGGCTATGGTTGCTGGTGCGGATTTGGTGGGGCAGGAAAGCCTCTAGACGGTGTAGACAGGTGAAGCTAGGGGGAGACACCCCGGATCTTTGTCGCAGATTTTATTAATTCTTGGAAGTGGAACGAATTTAGTTAAAATTGTTGTTTTGTGCGGTAACATTTTCAAAGCGGTTTCGATGACAATTTCCGCCCACTCAATTTCGTGATATTTTTATTGTGTTTACTTCGTACAGCTAAAATCTCCATTTTCATCCATTAATATTAGATGTTGCTTCGAACATGATAAATGCTACGACAAAGTGATTGCTGGTAGTGAATGCACAACAAGCGTTGATCCATACCTTGTGTCATATAAAATTAGCAACTGCAGTGATTGTGGTACGATCAGTTTAAAATTCTTTTCAAACAATTTTTCTTCAAGCTGTAAATTTTCTCTCTTCAACTTTAGCGCCAGCTGATGAATATAACTACTGGGACTGGATTGGCTGGGTGACCATTGATTGTCGTCGTGCTATTTGCCGTTGTGATTCAGTCGCTGCGAAGTGCTTTGCAAGGAACGCTTATAATAATCTATTTGCTTCATACGACAAATCTAAATGTTCCAGCAACGATACAGATGTTTTATTTTAGTTGAAATCGAGTAAAAATTGATAACTATTAACTATGAGATGATAGGACCATTATGATGTGAAGGAGACCATTTATCTAATAATGCTCCAATATTTAATCTAGGCATTTCGCGATTATAATATTTACTGTGTCACTAAAAATAATAGGCAAATTTTTAAAAAAGTAATAAAATTGTTACCTCTCTGTCCGCTGCACGCTTTGATGACAGAATTTAAAACATTTCCAGAGCATTGCAAACTTGTCGAATGCAACCATCACTCTTTCATCGTTAACGATCGAGTAAAAGCACAGTGAATTTAGGATAACGTTCAGGGTCGTTCCTCTTGAGCTGAATGGAACCACTCGTAGACACGTTTTATGTGTTAGAACAACTGACGAGGCACCTCCTTCTGATGGTCACCAGTTTGATTGAAAACTCGATTTTTTTTTAAAGGCTCAGTACTGTTTAACCGCGTTTACACTACGTGCTTTGACCTAGCCTGGACCTAGACCTAGATGTGAACGTTGCTTATCCGGCCTAGACCAGGCCGGGCCAGAAAATCCTGGCCAACAGCAGAAGGTGGCCTGGACCAGGCCTGGACCTGACCTGGGGCAGGATTTTGGTAATGTGAACAGGGTTTATTAATAGCCATTCCAAAACCTTTTTGATAAACCTATATAGAATAGAGCTGTGGTACACAGTGCGTACCTATTTTTTACTTCCTTTACATCTTCCATAGTTCCGCCTGTGTAGTTCCGCTAATTCAAAAATTTAAGTCTATTTTCATTTCAAATTTTCAATAACAAACATAACAAGGACGGAAATGTACATGGTAATCTGACAATAGAAATATTGTAACCTTGAGAACGTAAAAATATGTCTGGAAGGCATAAACAGTATTCTTGCAGAAAGTAAGTGATGTATCATTGCCTTGTATTACCAAATATCAATGCGCTCATGATCATGTCAGTGACAGAGTCTGTAGAGAGAAATGAGGTCACAAGAGGGAAACTTTTTATTATGGGGGGAGGTAGGCAAACTACTTTAAAAGGAACATTTTGTGTGTGCTCTCATGGTGCTCTGCCATTAAAAATATGAAATTTGGCATCTCAAAAAAGCAATTTCTTTCTCGTGTACCTACCTTCCAAGAATTCTATAGAGTATTGTATGGATTTAGGTTTGAATGGACATGAATATTAGCATGTGTAGTTATAGAAAATTACTCATGCTTTATATGGCCACAGTTGACACCTCCGTTTATTAGTAAATAAACCCACAGTTTTACACCTTATTATTAAAATCCATCCACATATATATAAGTATCACTTATGGAATGCATGGAATGCTTGAAAGAAAATATACTAGGTCTAAGAAAAAGCTGATCCACAAATAAAATGGTATTATTATGTAGAGGATGAATAACTTACTTGAATTGATAGTTGACCTTGCAGGTCTATAGTTACAGTGCCTTATTTACCCAACTGAGGAGCAAATATTGCCTGACTGGCTTTCCTCTTGCATCGCTTGACTAAAGTTGACTTGGATCTTTCCCCCTGACCTGCATGTGTATGGATATTCTTTTGTAATTGCATCATCATATAGGGAATTTTTGATTACTAAAAAGGATATTTTATAATGAAGGAAATCATTAGGTTGTCTGTAGTCAAAATGTAAAACTTTTCATAACAAAGTTAGCCAATCTAATGGCACTCAAAAACATCGGAATAGACCTTCCTCATAATGACATCAAACACCAAAAGCCTGACGTTACATAAAGTTTTATTGCCCCCACAAAACTAACAAGCCAATGAATCTTCATGCTATACATAAGGCTTTCTGTGACATGTTATTAGAAAGGTCTATATATTCTGATGTTTACCAATTCATAATCTAATATGCAAACAGTTTCTATATAATCTGGATATATAACATTTATATTGATTTAGGTGCAGATTTCTATATACCAACCATGATTTGTTCTAAAATAGTGTACAGCTAATCAAGTTTACATTTCATCAATTGAATTGAATTAGGAAATAGGGTAATGACATAATTAAAAGTAGTTCAGACACAACTGAAGATATATTTCATGGAAAAGTGCATTTTATAAAATAAATTGATGCAGGAGCTGGAGAGTAGTGACCAGTCCCTCTTCCAACAATTCTCTGTCAGCCTAGTCATTCTCTGTATTTAAGATGTTAGTCATGTTACTACTTGTAATACTCCATCCTAACCTTAAAATCCCATAATACCCATTCTGATATAGAAAATCGATAGCGCAAGGAATTTTATTTGTAGAAAGAGGAATTTGTATGAATTTGTTTTTTTTAATTGTCTTAATTAATTAAAATGAATTTGTTTTTTTTTAATTGTCTTAATTAAAATGTCATAGTCCATGCAGTCAATCATTATTAAAATGTCATATATTGCCAGATAGAATATCCTGGGAGTGGGGTGAACATTCGTTTTCACTGTCTTACCTTTACAGGACTCTTAATTTTATGAGTGAACTTTGATATAGAAAAGTGTTTGAAATGTGTGATGAAAGTCCCGTACGCGACAATCAATTTTTTTGCACAGCACGGCTAAAATGAATGCATTGAATCGATGTACCGTCCGTAGTGACCGTACCTATTTGTGAAGATGTTTCATGTTAGGTGATTTATGAGGATGCGATAAATGTGTAGTGGAAGTGCGGTGAATTGATAAAATCGTACCCAGTGCCAAATGCCGCGCGTTTGTTCTCGTGAATCAAAAGTCAAAACTAGTTAGATACACAACTCATTGTTTCACTATAACACAATGGTACTACCGTCGCATGCATAGTCAGAGAGTAGCCCCCCGTAAGTACGTTCGTATTTTTGTTAGCTGAACACTAACCGATCATCATTCGTGTGCGCAGAGTTAAAGGTTTAATGTTTTGGAAGGACATAAACTAAACATATATCACACGGTTTGGATGAAAAACAAACAAGCAGCAGAAGAATATAATGCTAATGCTCTCTTTTATCAGCATATGGATTTATAATTTGATTTTTGTATAATTTTATTCCTATACGCAACTGCCGCTTTTCTCGCTTTTCATGAAGCGTTTGAAGATTGAAGATTTAAAGCTTGAGGCTTTTTTGTATAAATTGCTACAAATGTTTGCTTAAATTTACAAATGAAACCTGCAGATATTTTCCTTAAACTAAGGTTACTAAGGTAACTCTTAACCACACTATATACACCACACTACAGGGGTCGGTTGTATCAAGCCCGTTTAGCTTACACGGTAGATAAGTCAAAATTAAATAACACTTTTACATATCTCTCTTGAATGAGTCAACTTGAATATTATGCACTGAATATGTAGTTGTAAACAGTATCTTTGTATTAAGGTTGAAAACATTTAGTTTGCTTGTTGAATAAAACGATAGACTTGCTTTCTATTTTGAACTTATCCACCGTTTAAGCTAAAGGGGCTTGATACAACCGTCCCCAGGGGCCGGTTGTTCAAAAGCAGGTTAAATTTAACCCTGGGTTAGTGCTAAACCTGGGTTAAAATCCTTAACCCTAGGTTAGCTAAACCTGGGTTAAAACTGTGTTGTTCAAAGTTGGGTTAGCGGTAGGGTTAGTTAACCCAGGGTTAAAATATTTAACCTAAGATTAAATGTATTTTAACGACTAAGTTGGATATAAGAACGTTTTCAATTGGTCAATAAACGAGCGGCAAAACTTTACCCGACGAGGATATATTGTCAGTCGAAAGATTATATGCCGTGAGGGCAGGGTCGAAGGGACGTTGTTTTGAACCGCAATTTCCGTGCATGCAATTTTAGAAAGATTCGAAATTCGCAAATGTTGTATGATAAACAATGTCGCGATGTGAAGCAAAATTAAGCAATGCATATTATAAACAATCTATTTTGAAAATTTTAGGCATTCTTTGATTATTCAAATTCAGGAACAAACGTAGCCTTACCACTTGCTGCCAATCAAAAGAATCAAATTTTGGTATGCGAAACAAATATTTCGATTACGATCTTTCAATTTGTACGGTTGTATTCATTCATCGTGTATTGCATTGAAGCGAAGATAAATAAATCAATACATCAGCTGAAATCGAACGAAGTCAAACTTAAATAATTCTTTGCTGTCGAAATTATTCGTAAAACCTTTCAAAAGTGTTTAATTCATGACGAATTATACGTGTTTACGTGTTTCAGCTCCTTATTCATCCATTTTGAATCGAAGTTAACCCAGGATTAAAAAGTTAACCCACCTAGCTAGCAGGGTTAATTTTTTTGTCAATTTTAACACAGGGTTAACGCTAACCGAGCTTTGTGCAACGCAAATCAACCAAGGTTTAAAATTTAACCCTGGGTTAGGCATTTTTAACCCTGGGTTACCGTTAACCGGCTTTTGAACAACCGGCCCCAGATGTATAAATTAATGTTATATAGCTTCAATATCGGTAACATAAGGTACGACTGAATTTTCACTGCATGTTAGTTCATAACATATATCAGTGGTGGTTCTGTTGTTCATATATACACAAATTTGCCATAAATATTAATTCCTATTATCTCCACTACTTGTTAATCAATTAGGACTTCGAATATGTGTGTTTCTTTCTTGATGTCATTAAATAGCATTCGCGAGGTCGACATCCGATCAGAAATTGAACTGCCTACATTCAATGTCTACGAGGGCACCCCTATCTCCTGTCGTTTTCCCGCGAAGAATTTATCGCGGATGCACTGCGTTCTGAACACATAGATAAAAGGATTAATGCATACGTGAACTTGTTGAAATGCGACAAAGAGATAGATCAAACTAAAAAAAGTCGTTCTATCATCTGTTGCCACGTAATACACATTAAGAACAATCTGAGGCAACCAGCTTAGGATAAAAACCATTGTTAGAAGTGTTATTGTCTTTGCTGCTTTACTGGTAAATGGATGAACCAGCCCGGCGTTAGTGGTGGGCCTTTCGATTGTTGCTGCTGCTGCTGCTGCTGCTGTTAATTCTTTATCATCTCTGCGAGGATCATTTTCACCTCCTATTTTACACTCCTCGTTCGCACTGTTGTAGTTCACCGCTTCTCCCATTTGCCGTATGCGCATTTCGTGTCGTTTTGCAACAAATAACGATGCAATTTGCATTGATGCTGTTACGACGAACATCATCAGGATTAGCATCGCGTAAATTATACCAGCAATCTTGGTGGCTTTCTTGAAGAGGGCAAACGTTAGCCCTATTGCTAACGCCGTAATCCATGCACAAACTATGATCGTGACTACTTTTTGCTTTTTCAAATACGTGTGATAGCGAAATGGAAATCTGATGCCGAGATATTTATCGAAGGTGACTAGAAATAATGCGGCACAGTCGGCTAGGAGGCACGTAAACGTAGCCATTTTGAGAATCCCGGTGTGGAAATCGCTTAGTTCATTGCGAGCTAGCAAGCGCGTTATGATCAATGGTTGGTAGAATATACTACTTATGAAATCAGAAAGACATAAATTCAAGATAAAAATGTCCATGATCTTGAGTGTTCGATGATGGCTTGCGATCGTTATTATGACTGGGAGATTTAAAGTTGCTCCAAAAAGAATAAGAATCGCGTCGATAATTGATGCAGCAATGGCGATGTCAACTGGTGTTGTGATAAAATCAAACCCTTTTTCAGGTTGTGTTGGTGTTTCATTGAAAGAAAGGTTGTTGGAATACATATCCCTGCTGGCCGTTATTTTCCTGTCGAACAAGCAATTGAATCTTCTGCTCAAAAATTGAAATTAGATTATAAGTCTGTCCACTCGTCGTATATAGATGATCTAAAGTGCCATATTCAAAGACGAATAATACAAACGGTAATTTGCATATAATTACATTTTTAAATGGACAACACAATTTTCATCTGTTTTGGTCGGTAGAGGTATGAAGATTGACATGCATTTATCTCTATGGATTTGTTTGATTAAAAGAACATTTTCATGCGATTCGTTCGAATGTATAGTATTACAGATGTATACCGGCAAAAATCTTCATTTTACCTCAACGGGTCGGCAAGCATGCTGATGTAGATATCAATGTTCACTGTTAAGGCTGCTTTCCACTTTCGCGTTTCTTATACGCACGCACACGTACGGAAAATTTTAAATGCTTTTAAATTTTAATCAATATTTAACATCTAGGTCAACTGATGCATACTAGAATATACAGAAAACTAACTTTCTCCGATTTATTCACTTTCAAAGGTAACATGTAGAAGGATTTAGACTTTTACGTGCGTGTACGTGCGTATGAAAAACGCGTAAGTGGAAAACAGTCTTTAGGTGTTAAAAGTCAATTTATAATGTAACAATTGAACAATTGCACTACAATTTTGAAGAAGCATATCGATCTAGCGGCTTTCAGAAAGCTTTTTTCGCTGTCTCTGTCATCACGGATATTGCATGACTACAGCATATATTTCTATAGTAAGTCATTACCTATTTTATAACTGTGATAAATGGGCAAATATAGCAGATGTCCCTCTAGGCTCTACATTTTATGACTCGCACTTCACGCATTCCGGCAGCTGAATATGGAAAATATGTCTATAAATGTTACGAAAACAACAAGGACTCCTCTCCTATACTTTTATCATTTTCATATGATTAAATGCACGTTATTGATCGTCACCGAAGTATACTTTTCATAGATTTCTGAATCTAATTTTAGGTGCATGTACTTGACTGATGGATCAAAACGAACTTTTTGTTTTACTAAAGTCTGCATGTGTTTTCTCGAAATCTTGCCCGGAACATACAAGTGTTCTGTTTTAGGATATTTTATTCTATAGGAATATAGATAGTGCCGATTTATAAACGACGTATAATAGTGTTTTAAATAAAGTGCTATAAGTATAATGCCTAGACTAGATTGTTGTTTTAAGTTTAAGTATAGGTTTTCTTAAAACTCAATGACATGTAACTAAGAGGCCCTTATCGACATGATGGGTGTTAATATGCAATCCTTTTTTGCAGCTGGTTTGGATGTCGGAAAACTCAACACAAATAATAGTATCTACAGCTCATACATATGGCTGCACATTACACAGAATTATCATCTATTTTACAAGCAGTGGGTGGTCTATCTAACGTACTTTCAGGCCTGAGTTCTATATCATAAGCATGATTAGCTAGAGCAACTTGATAAAACATTTCTTTCTGGGTCAGCTCTGCTTCAATCAGCAGCAGTCACAGCGCTTGCTTAGGCTATAATTAGAAGATGGACACTGTGACATTTAAGCTCACATTCAAAAAAAATAACCTTTCCGTTAACTAAAGAAAGAAAGTTCGCAAGAAAATTTATCCCAAAAAATGGCAAATTATAAGATTTGGTAAGATAACTGGCCATCTAGGCTTTACACTTTTTTGCAGGTCTTATCATGGTATGCATTATTTTTGTTAAAGAAAATCTAAAAATTTGCCATCATACTACTTTATTGGACATGTCCACAAAGTCGGTTATCGGTTATCTCAATGCATATATCGGCTTTAAAGCGAAAATCAGGTGCCAACATTCAGGGTCTTGTTCTCCATAATGTCGGATAAAAATGAATAATTATGCCCGTTGGCAACTTGTAGGAAATCAAGGACAAAGTTGGCTGATGCCGACGCACGGATGAGATGAAATCTGTGTGAGGGAAAGAACAGTTGCACGAAACGAACGCTGTCAAAAATGTTCTCGTGCATGCATGCCGTTTTTTCCGGCGGTTTATGCTGCCTGTTGAAATACTATTGCTCAGCGGCGTTGTTAGCAACCCAAGGATAATATATTTTTCTGCAACTTGTTTTTGCATTCATCCATACGACTGACTGAATTTGGTCAAAATGACATAATTTTTTTACCTGATGACTTCTGCAAGTACATGCATATGACGAATTAATTGCACTGAATACGTAATTATTTTGAGGAAATGCAACTTTAAAAACTTTATTGTTCTCAGCTTTTCGAAGACCAATTTTCGCTGAATTTTTATATTAGACTGTTATATTAGCTGTAATGTGATGTTATATAATATGCAATTATTTAATATTGCATTATATGATATGATATAACGGTCGATTTTTTACGCCGAATACAACTGTGAATTTTTGTCAAGGTGACGCACGAAAATGTTCAGACGTGGAAAAATTAGAAAAAGTGAACCCGGATTTTTTGTCTTGTTGGAACAGATTGTATAGGCCTATAACCAATATTCAAGACGTTGCCTTTGTACAATTATCGATCCAGGGGCAGGGGCCGGTTGTATAAAACTCCTTAACTACATTTTGCATAGTTAAATCCCAGTTAACTCAGGAATAAACAACTCTGATTGGCCAATTCTGTCCTTAACTACAGTTAAAAGTTAACTAGTCTTTTATACAACTGGGCCCCAGTTAGCTATATACTTGAATAAATATGCGTTCGTATTTTCAGCTACACGTAGTAACATATAATGCAAACCGAATTCTTTAATCCAGTTTTTCTTCCAAGTTTAATCATGTTTACTGGATTTTCATTGTAGGACAGAGTAAATTTTCGGCGCAAGGAAAGCGATAATGTTAGATGTAGGAAAGTGGTGTATTTTTCATATGGTGGATGATGCCATCCTGCAAGTAGCCAAAACAGTTTGTGTATTTGGTCCAAGTGGTAACGAGGCTTTCATAATAACAAAGGAAGATGACGTTTATGCGTTTGGTGCAAATGTGAATTCCTGTTTAGCCCTTGCCTCTGGTACAAGTACACTGCAACCAAAGAAAGTGGAGAAATTGTCTAAATTGAACATTACATCGTTTTCTTTTGGTAGTGCACCGCATGTTCTCGCACTGACAGGTAAAAACTTATATTACAATAAATTCTTTATATATAGCTGGAAACTATATATTGTATAATGTAAACAATATATGTTTACATTTATATATCATCAGTGACTATAACTGCCGTGTGAATATTTAAGGAAATTGTGAATATGATCTAAACGAAAAGGCGGCGAATAGATTATTGAAGCATATAGACTTATAGTGAAGTGTGCCACAGCCATCGGCGTCTTGTTTTCTTGCCTCTTCACAAACTAATGTGAAGGACTTGGCGAAAGCTTCTTCTTATCCTTCCAATTCGTCTTCATTTATTTTGCTTGTACTGAAGTAATTTAGTAGCTAATTAGTTTAGTTGTGTGTTTTTTTGCGTTAAAGACAACTAACTTTCAGACAACCCAGCGTTATTTTTTACCCTCATCGAAATTCGAAATTGAGTTATCTATAAAGTGCACGAATAGTACATTTTCTGGCTAGTGTTTTCATCGATCATAGAAGCTACGGAGAAGGATAAGCAACTCATTGTTGTATGCAGAATGTTGTTTTTCTCTGATATTGAACACGGCGTTCTATTTTCTATATAATAAAGCTTTCATCCAATGTAAATAAATAAAACAAATAAAATGAATTAATGAGTCTTATTTAATATCAGTTTCACCGCTACCTCGATCCGTTAATTTACCTCCATATATGGCATACAATTGTCTTCAAATATCGCTGAAGGTTCAACATCGAGATAACTTTTGCTAAAAAACAATGGCCATCCGTTATTAATATTATATAGTTTGAAGCAAAAAACACCTATAGCATCGATGTTCGATATGTTACACACACTTTGATATGCAGAAATATATTATAGTTCCTACTGAGTTTGCTCCATGTAGCTAGACTTCCAGACTTTTTTGAAATACACACACAAAGTAAACTCTGCATGTATAAGCTTGTATTTTCACTGACATAAAATTACGATAAAAAATTACAATCTAAACAGTAATTTAAAACAAATGTCTATGCACTGTATGTATTGGTGGAGACGATCCTGAATTTTCTAGTTATAATCTTAGTAGCATCTTGTATGCCAGTAATATAGCTTTTGCTTGCACTCAGGTTCTGGGCAAGTGTATGGTTGGGGTGGAAATTCGTATTCTCAAGTTGGGCTTGCAAGTAGTTCATCCGTCCAAGCTCCGACGTTGATTGGCGGAGCTCTTTCGGGAAAAACTGTAACGAAAATAGCCTGCGGTGGAAATCATTCCCTCGCATTGATATCTACCGGAGAGGCAAGTAGATCACAAATATACGTATTGATGTTTTTCGCCTATAACATTCGCCTATTAAACAAATTATAACCCGAATTGCCCTTTTTTTTAAGCCACACAAACATGAGACAGCTCGTTTTATTTTAGCAACGCACAGTGTGTCGGGCGTACATTTTGCATTAGGGACTGCTAGAGATAATTTGATGCTAGACCTCGTTTACAATTTCTGCAAAAACAAATTATTAACTTAAAAATATTCTGCAGGTCTATGCTTGGGGTTATAATAACAGTGGACAAATTGGTTCAGGCTCTACAGTGAATCAAGCTACACCAAGAAAAGTCACAGCTGGTATCGGTAAGTTTTAACGCGGATATATTAAGTGAATGATTAGCCTGTGCCCCAGTCCACTATAATACTAGATTACTAGTGAATGATGGCCACTATGACCACCTGGATACGTTTATACCCCCTGATCCTTAAAAATGGCTCGTTGTAAAATGCCTTTTGGTGTAGACTGTATGACACTGCGTGTACTTATCTTTTTCTTATAATTGCAGTATTTATCTGAAATTAATCTTACTTCTCGCACTCTCTTACATAGGCAGCAAAGAGATAGTCAATATTGCTTGTGGGCAATCGTCTTCAATGGCTATAGATAATAATGGAGAGGTAGGTGTATGTGTTTTCTTGCTTATAGGTCTTTCAAAACATGCACACAAGAAAATACGTAACAGATTCTCCATCCATTCAGCTAAGCTGAGATTCATTCACACATGAAAAAGATTTAAGATTCCAAGCTCTAAGTTAACCTGTCAACACGGAGAAATTCTGGCTCCTCTTGTATAAGAGAAATGTATAAATTAGAAATAATTGCTATAACATGTTTCGTTTCACTTTTGGTGACGTATTTAAGACTGAAACATACGTCAAATGTACGCACAAAAACAGGGTGTTGTATGCACACCGACGTCCAATATCTAACGTGGTTTGAGACATAAACCTGAGATTCTCTGGCTACACTGAGCTGGAAACTCAGGGCATAAACGCTAATCGTTCACTGATATAAATTCTGGCGTCATCAATAGAATAGTTTAAATACGATGAGAAAACGCACCAGTGACTGTTTGTGTACTTTTTTATAGTATTGTAACTCATCGATGTAATGAATTAACTTATATAAAATAATATAGCGCATGATGTAGTTTGAGATATTATTATATATTGGAGAGTAATAACAAAACAATTAAACGAATATGTTTACTGAAACATATTAGGAATCATCTCGTAATCATTCTTCTGTTGAATAAATGCCATTTTCTACAAATGATTTCAGCTTTATTCCTGGGGTTACAACGGAAATGGTCAATTAGGCCTCGGTTGTAACACGAACCAACCAAACCCATGCCGAGTTACTGGGCTTATCGGAACGTTTGTTACAAAGGTAGGTGTATTACTGGTGCATACCTTGCGTGCATGATAGATGGTTAGAATATTTATCAAGTTTTATGGTTTGTATAAACTTTTTTCTCAGAACGTAAGGATGTCAATGTATACAATACAAGGACTATGCAGATTTTCTTAAAATTACGTCATTCTTATTTCCCGCGGCCCTTAACTTTGCTTCCACTCTTATCCCGAAAATACTCTGAGGGGTGGACTTGTCGCCTTTCTACTGATGCGAATTATCCTGTCTGACGGGTCATTTCAGTGGAGACATAACATTTACGATAGTTCTCAGACAAATACCAAAGCTGATTCGTGTCGATATACTGTATACAACTTTAAAAAACAACTAAAAAGACATGAAATGACGTCCTCGTTGGAAAACATATCTTGAATTTATTTTAGATTGTCTGCGGGTACGCTCATTCTCTCGCATTATCTGACACTGGCAATATTTACGCATGGGGAGCCAATCAAAATGGCCAACTGGGCACCGGAAGTAAAGCCAACCTTGTTACACCATCAAGAATTGCCACTGACAGAGGGAGGTAAAGTAGTAAATAATTTAATGGTGTGTTTATTTTAGAGCCGGTATTATATCAAGCCTATCCAAGGTCGAAACTACACTGAACGTCTGTTAGGAAGGCAAATCGATTACACCGAGTCTCCGTAATAAAACTGCATCTACAACGATGCACTTTTGTTTAAGGACTTGGAGCAGCTGTTGTCGCAAACTTGTGTTTTCATCGAACAGCAGTCAGCAAAGACGCATTTGTGTATAACAAATAGCATTTTTTTTAAGATTCATTGACATCACTGCCTGCCATTACAGTCACATGTCTTCAGCTACGACAGCATTGGGGAAGGTTTGTAACCCTATAGTGTGATAGATTTTGTAACCGTATTGTCAGGCCTGCATGCTTATTTCTGATCAGTTAATTGCCAGTGTGTTTGTGCACCATTGTGACTGCAACTTACGTTTTTTAAACGATCTAAAGACCATATTTTTTGGTAAATAGGCAAGTATTTTATTTTACGCAATTCTACTGCATTTTCTCAAATGTTATGCAGCTAATTCAGTTATAAGCTATCCTTTGCAAGAATACTAACTCAACCTCTGAGAGCACAAGAGATGATGGGTTATTACTTGTCAGACACATCCACTTGAAAATTTAAGTGCCTTGAACAATGTATAAATGACTCGAAACTTGCTCCTTGAATACAATAAGGAACTTCCCAACAGTCTTTCGCTTTCTGAACTCAAAATTTAAAGTTTTAAAAGGAAACGTAATTCTACTGCATTTTCTCAAATGTTATGCAGCTAATTCAGTTATAAGTTAGGTTATCCTTGCAAGAATATTAACTCAACCTCAGAGAGCGCAAGGGATGATGGATTATTACTTGTTCAGACACATCCACTTGAAAATTTAGTGCCTTGAACAATATATAAATGACTCAAAACTTGCTCCGTGAATACAATTAGGAACTTTCCAACAACAGTCCTTCGCTTTCTGAACTCAAAGCTTAAAGTTTTGAAAGGAAAACCTCATGAAAACACAAAATCAATGAAAATCAAATGAAACATTTCAAAATGCATTATATACTTCAGTTAAATAATATCGGTCTATATATGTCTAAATTTTCGTTCCCGAACTGGAAAAGTTCATGTCGTTTTTATGAAAATTTTAGATTTATGTTTGGGGTCTTTGCAAAGGACAGTCAGTGACGGCATTAATGGCTACCAATTTCAAATGTGCTGATAATGCATATGCCTGCCTATCGTCCGCTCCGTCGATGTCACGTCCTCTAACTATAGGTACGAATTGATTGCAGTATTGTCAATAAGCTTATTTTAAGTCCAGAAATTACATTTGTCAACCTGATCAATGCTTCGGCGTAGATGAAATGGAGTGAAAATCCTGTTTTTGAGAGATCTCCTATCAAACCCCATTGATTTTTTTGTTTGATGCTTCCAGGTAATAGAAAGACATTAAAGACCGTTTCGGAAACAATGGCAATGGCGTTTAACGATAAGGTTTGAACATTGAACTGTAGGTAAACTGGAACGCTAACTCCTGACAAGCATCTTGAAGCCAAATTGTTTTTCTGAGTTGTGAGCTTAAATACTTGACGCCAGATGTTGGGCTGCCTGGGTGTCAAATTAAAGCTATTGAAAAGTTATATTTCGTATGGAAATTTAAAGATTCAAACCACAAAGGAAATATATAAAAAGACCGGGAAATTTTTAATAGCTTTAATTTCATATACGACTCGACATTTGGCGTCAAGTATTTCAGCTCATAACTCAGAAAAAGTAAAAAGCACTGGCTTCAATTTCCCCCCGTGAGTTATCGTTCCAGTTTTTTTACAGTTCAATGGGTTTGAAATAATGAGTATACGCCGTGTTGATTAATTTGTTCCAGCCGGTAAGTTATTTCTCGATTGCCATTCGTTGTCAACAAATTTTAAATTTGAACTCTAATCGATGAAATATATAATCAATATTACTCGGTTAATTCACGGGTCAAAGTGCCGTTTGGTTATAGATCCAAGGTTATAAGTCGGTTGTGTGTCAAAAATGCCACTGTTGCTCGCAATGTACCTTAACATCCTAACACCGACAGCGTTGATCTGTTTTATGGATATTACATTTATTGCCGAATTTTAGGGAACAAGTGACGTTACATTTATTATTGACGATAAATTTGTGTACGTTCATAAAGCGATATTGAAAATAAGGTGAGCAAATATGTCAGAATACGAAATTTTGTCCATTCAAAACCTTCAATCTGGAACTCTAAACCCGCGAGGAATTATTGTCACTTATTAAGTCCTTACACTCAGAAATTGCCTTTGCAGGAAGCATGTTTTCTGTTTTAGGCCTTACGCATTCTTTAAAGTTACATTTCCAACGTTAATGTTTTCTATGGGGAACCTCTTTTGAATTATGTGTAACAGTAGCTTTACATAATAAGGACGTCTAGGCTATATTTTTTCGCGTCGAATGCAATTCAAAAACTATTGGCCAAAGTGATCGATAGAATACATTATCTAAAGGATTACAAACGAGACCAGTTTTACGCAAAATAAGCCTCGCCTATTAATGTGCCCTCTAATGTGTTTTCTAATGTATGCTCTCTAATATATAAACTGTATGTTGGAAATCACCATTGCACACGACATTTATATATACATTCATGCATTTAGATGCGAGTACTTTAAAGCGATGTTCCAAGATCACTGGCCAGAGGATGGCCAAAAGTAAGTCTGATATTCACGGGAGTGCAATAATTTAGTTATATCCCACTGAACTGTATAACATGGAAGGTTAACTCCAGTATCTATAAGTGAAGCCAAAAATGGCGGCTTATAAAGCTTTCTTGGGCGTCATTCTCAGTCTCCCAAACGCGTTTTTTTCGCGCGGTCAACTAAGGCGCGGGAAATTTAAAATGCAAAGGCCTGCTACTTTCTTCAATCTTTTCTACGTACTGTTCCCAAGCAAAAATATATTAGGCGTTAGTGTAAAAAGCTGATAGGAAATTCAAAATGTGAAACAACTGCAAGTTGATAAAAATGCCACGTTATTGCGTGGTACCCCGCTGTAAAAGCAACGACCGAAAAAAGGAAAATAGGCCTGTATTTTTTCACAGGTAAATATAATTTTACTGTAAAATAAATTATGAAAGTATTGTATAAAACGCGAGCTTTATAGAATTTATAGTTGAAAAGCATCCCTAAAGAATTTCATTGGTCTACCTAATGTATGCGCCTATGTTTAATTTTGTTTGGGGCCGGGGGCTTTAAATTTGTTTTGTTTTGGGGGCTTTAAATCAGTTTACAATAAAAGCGCGCGAATTTTTCTTGGGAAGAAAGAAAAATGGCGACTGTTGTTGTTATCGTAACTGACAAATATAATCAACATTTCGCCGTTTTATCATGACCCTATCATGGTTTAACTAAAGCAATTGTCTGTCATTTTTTCCCGTACTATTTTGTTCAGATACAGTTTGTAGTTGATCATTATTCTCAGACAGTAGATCTCATCTGTGGATTCATTGTATCGAAGCTGGAGAAGAAAATATCCTGTCCACAGTGCATAGTCAATATTACAGAGTCACCAAGTCAGAGCCAAGAAAGATCAGATCACGACTATTGCTCTAAAACCACTGACAACATGTATGACAATGCCTCTACATTTACCAACTTTGTGAACAAAGGTGGTCTACGCCTCCCTTCTGTACTTGTCCTGAAAGTAGTGTCATATGCAGAACAAGTGTTTAAATATTATGTATCAAGTGCCACCAACGACAGCATCACCAAAGAAAAAAGGCTGAAAGAGAAAATGGTAACAGAAGTCAGCCAGCATTTTGCCGAAATTGACATACCTAAAAAAGAAACTCATGAACAGTGTTTAAATGAGACATTATTTGATAATCACAATCTCTGGTTAGTCAAATGTATTGCTGATCAGTTCTTCAAGTTAAGACTGTTTACCTACGCCAAAACCTACAATGAAATTATTGTGAAGAAGGGACTTCCAAGTCAGAGGCATCAAATGAACAACTCATTTTGTTCCAAAACCAATGAATGATTGAGAACTTGAAATATGTAAATAGTGTAAATAAATTTAAATTATAACATAATCATGTAAATAAACTAAATATTTGAATAAGAATGACATCCTTGATAATAAAAATTTTCAGCATTATTTATAAATTGTAAAGATTTATGCAAAAATCGTTAATACAATATTTTAAATATTTATAATCGAACAGTCGAACATGTTGAGTCGTTGACTTGAAATAAAATATTCATGTATAATATATTAAATGAACATATACTTGCCTTTTGCAAAATGTAATTAGCAGATTTATAAGCAAAAAACGAAGTTGAAATCGTATTCCTTCTCGTTTTTAATTAAATCAATGAAAACGACACGCCTCGCCGTTTGCAATGTAATAATGATAAAGTTTGACGATTGACCGCGCGTTTGGGAAACTGAGAATGACGCCCAAGAAGGCTTCATGACCGCCATTTTTGGCTTCACTTTTGGATTGCGTAATTCCTTTAAGTTAGCCTTCCATGTTATACAGTTCAGTGTTATATCCTCGTCATCAAGGTCAAGCTAATTATTTTACTTATCCACAAAATGGTAATCTTAGCGAAAATCTTAAAACATCATCCACTGCGCAGATTATTCAAACAAGATTAGCCTGCCAAATAGAGTTTTTCCATCTGTGCAGGTGTATATCTGAGCCTTTTTTCTCTAAACAACTCTACAAGGTTTGCCTGTTTTAATTTTGCAGTGAAATAAAGATAACGTCATATTCGTACTCAGTCTTTTACGCATTCCTTCGATATTTATACACTGACCAAGTGGACCTCGCGCCTGAAGATGCAATTGGTGAGTTGTATTGTTTATAGGCCATGGCTTTTTAGGATACCCAAAAGGTCGAAATGTGGAGAGAGGACCCAGTGGACTTAAATAAGACTGGAACGCTCATTCTCTGACTTTCCGTCATTAATGAGTGAAGCCAAGATGGCGGATCATGAAGCCTTTCTTGTAGGTATGATCCAGGCCTCTAACGCGGAAATTTCAAAGGAAAAATCATAATTGCCACCATTTTACCTACGAAATTTCCGCGTGGAGGCCTGGATCATACCTACAAGAAAGGCTTCAGTGTCCGCCATCTTGGCTTCAAACTTCAGACACGTGGACAGAGTGAGCGTTCCAGTCTTATTTGAGTTCACTGCTCTAACCATAACCCCAGTCCTTTTGGGTATCCTAAAAAGATTTTGCCATTGTTTAAAGCCTGGTTCTCATTATAATCACTGACAGTCGGCGATGCATTGTTACCGGTTAAGACAGAAATTATTTAAAATAACAAAGCACTTCACTAATAAATTGTTACCGTCAATGGCCATCGCCGACTGTCTAGTCTCATAATATCCACTTTGTAGGCTTACTTGACCTCGCTAACGCGTACTGTGAACCTCAACTTAAACGATTATCCGAAATGATTATTAAAAACGGCATAACGGTTCAAAATGCGATTATGTTATTGGCAGCTGCACTCAAGTACGACGCTGAGGTGAGTAAATTCATCCGTGAAATTATATAGACAAAAGATTACTCTACAGGGTGTCCCAAAAAAAACGAAAACTATTGAAATCACTCATTGTTAAAATTTGAATGCCGTGTTCACGAATTTCAGCCCGTGGGGATTTAATGCAACCTATAAAATGCTAAGTGCTTTGTGTTGCTAGAGAAAGGGGACATGTCGAAGGTCATGGTCCTTGAGATGCACATTTAAATATTGTTATCCATATTTGTAAATTGTAAATATTGTTAATAAATATCATTTTTGCGAACAAGCAAATTTGACTGCATCATATGCATGCATAAAAACGCTTATGGCAACCCAGATTTATACACTTGTGGGCCCAACAGAGTGCTTAGGCATTCAAACTCTAACAATGGCATTGTTATGAGTGATTTCAATAGTTTTCGTTTTTTTTGGGACACCCTGTATATATAGTCTTTCCAAAATCTCCCAATTTCTTTTTGAAAGATTATTATTAACCAGCACGTTTTCTAAATAACATTGTTTCCAATTTCGCCTTATAGGATTTGGAAGAGTTTTGTTTCAAGTTTTGCGTTAATCATATGACCGCAGTAACACAAACTGATGCGTTTCAAAATCTTGATGAGAATACACTGAAGGATTTTATACTCAAGGCGTCCCAATGGGGTGCTTTTAAATACTAAATAAATATGATTAACTTTGTTGAATGTTTAAACTAATAGTTTATCTTATAAAGAAATTTAATCGAATTAGCAACAAACGATATTTACCCTTCTTGGGCATTTAGGTCGAGGGTGAAAGGAAAGCCTCCTTATTTAAAAAACTCCAATATCCTTTAAGAAAATAAATTGCTGATAATGCGTTGTAAAAAATATTCTTGTAGTTTTGCATAGCGAACACTGCTACACAATGGACAAGTGAAGAATAGCCTGAATAGGCAGGCAACTTATAACGAGGAAAGCGGTCAAGAGTGCATATTTTTTGGTTTTCCACTGAGACATCGACGAATGTCTAATGTTTACACGTTTTTGGGGCAGGACAGAAATGGTTGTGTGTATGTGTTGTTGATTGTGTAATTACAGGCGAAGCTAAATAAATAAATAAATACTTAGACAAGTCGGTGATGATGGCCTGGGTCTAAAAACAGACCAAAAGCTTGATGTAAAATTATCCGTCCTGAAACTACTACACGCAGGCATCCGGGACAGCTACAAAGAGTTCTGGGACCGGTTGTATCAAGCCCGTTTAGCTTAAACGGCGGATAAGTCAAATTTAAATAACACTCTTACATCCCTCTTGAATGGGTCAACTTGAGTATTGTGCACTGAATTTGTAGTTGTAAACAGGATCTTTGTATTAAGGTTAAAAACATTTAGTTTGCTTCTTGAATAAAACGATAGACTTGCTTTCTATTTTGAACTTAACCACCGTTTAAGCTAAACGGGCTTGATACAACCGGCCCCTGGAGAGCGTTTTTGAAAACCTGCGTCCGGTTACGTATGGACGCAAAGCCAAAACGGAAAAAAACCTCCGTTTTTAAAAAATATCCGGAACGTGTGGACCTCTGGAGAGCGTTTTTGAAAACCTCCGTTTTCAGTTTGCCAAAAACGGCGGTTACGTGTGGACGCAAGGCCAAAACGGATAAAAAACCTCCGTTTTTAAAAATATCCAGATACATGTGGACGGGGCCTTATTTTACGTTTGTTCACAGTTACTGCGGTTTGTTCTTCTCTGTGTGTAAATATAGAGTATCATATTTCATACATAAGTGATACAGCCTCAAGAGCACTGATAGCTTACTCCAGCGTTTTTTTTTATTTTTGTTTCGCAAGAACCAGCGCTGTTCATATTTTGTATACTGTATAGAACATTCAGGTACGTTACTAATCTTACGATAATACAGGTCTTTTATTAAACTCTGTACATAATAAGCAATAACAAATATTCGTGCATTATTCGTTTACGTAGCAACTGCTCGTCTAGTCTTTTCGCGTTTGAACCCATCCCAGCTCCGACGCCAAATTAAGGATGAAAATACCAGTACTAAAGATTTTACAGCACTGTAATCTTTATAGATAAGTGCTATAAAGACATGGTTATGTCCAGTTATGATTTGATCCCATTGTCGTATTTGTAGTGAATACCGCGTCTACGCATGCTTTAAAATATTTTAATTCAATTTCGGTATTTGTCTCGGCATGCCGACCCAAAGCAATGGTGGCACGTGTATTCATTCATTCAAGCAATGCACGAAACTGGCCTCGGCCTTAGAAGTAATGATTTCAACTTCACCTTTTCTCAAATTATTTCGTACTATATAAATATATCACTGTGCATGAAAGCACGCTGAGAAATTGAATTTTAATATGGACGGCGATTTTTGCTACAAATGTTGGCTAATGCATGTCTTTCGTGTGTAAAATGTTAACCAAACGTTTCAATTCAAAATTTTGTATATATATGACTTGAGAACTTGTTTTAATTGACATGATTAATTTGTACAACTACAGTATACGCACGCCGTACAGGATGGACATGAATATCCCACCATTTTGTGACGAAAAATTAAGTTCCAGATTTTTAACCTCAAACTATTCTGATTAATCTATTTCTGAGTCTATTATAGAGGGGTTATAGAAGGGCAGCGGGTAATCTCTACGGCAAACAGTTGACTTTATAACTTAGATTAATCCAGTAAGACGCCACACCTCCGGGACAACCCGCTTTACGAAACACATTACTGACATTAGACATTGTACATAAACCTATCTTGACCTGCTTCCTGTTATCCGATCACAATCAACAAACCTTTTCCGGGAATTTTGTGCACATAAGTGTATTGCGCGAATGCATGTAAGCGGAAGTTTGTGTTCCTTACGTTAGCGTTGAACGATGTTTCAATTCGGAAAAGAGTTTTTTAATAATTTATTATTATTATACAGGCAGCGACACCGTAGAGGCAACGTCTTCGTGCGGGTGTAAATACCTGCGTCTTAGATAAATCAAAAATTCCTGACGTTTATGACAATAGTTAGGCGAATATTTTGGAAAATGGGATCAATGTATAGACGCAAGTCGTTCACCCGAAGTGAATATTGTGTGACAAGGTTATTGTGCAGTCTAGATATTACTTTGCGGTTAATTTGCTTAAACAGCTGGTTATATAATTTAAATTTTCTTCAAAATGAATTTTGTATCTGTCATGATCGTTTCCAATAAGGCAATATGTATTTAGTACGTTGGTTTTATTTGAACAGCAGAAAGATAAAATTAACTTTTCCCACCTGACATAACCTGTAAGTGAAAACGCGCCCTAGCAATGAATTTATATTGAACCCGATTTTAATGAGACCAGGTGTAACTTTTTTTAGGTTTTTCTCAACTCTAAATTTTTTTAAATTAGGCGCACTATGAAACACAATATGCCTTTAGTTAACTTTTTATAAAATGTTATTTCCGTGCAATGCTTGATAATTTGCAGTTTTTTTAAAACTACATTCACCGAGGAATTATAGGAACTGAAAACAAGGCCTAGTGTCAGGTACTGATGATAAAGTAAATATAAATGATAAAGGAAATCTTTTTCAATCCCACCTTTTGCTATGCAGCTTGAAACATATGTAAATGTATAACTTCACATTACGTTCAATCTTTGACTTTGTGTACTTCAGACCCACCTGAATATGGATAACATAGCACTTGACGACCAAGCAACTGTAAGGGACAATGACGTGCCTAACTCGAAGTATGCAGATGAAGCAGAGAATACGCAGTCAAATTTTACTATCATGAAAAATGTCGTGGTTGTTAGCTTCGCATTTCTTTTGCTTTTTACTTCATTTCAATCACTGCAGAACCTGCAAAGCAGTCTGAATAAAGACGCGAATCTTGGTTTAATCTCGCTGATTGTCATATATGCCAGCCTTATCGTCTCGTGTATGTTCATACCGCCTGCTGTGATTGGTCGTATTGGATGCAAATGGACGCTGGCTGCTTCTATGGCTTGTTATGCCGCATTCATTGCCGCGAATTATTATCCACGATGGTACACGCTGGGATTTACTTCTGTACTTCTTGGTGAGTACAAATTGAAATTTTAGGGGCGCTCCATTTTGGGAGCTGGTGTTTGCATGCATGGTAAGATATGTATAATATAGCATCAACTGTGGTATAACAAACTGCCTAGAATAGACAAAAAGATGCAGTTGTTATACCACAGTTGATGCTAAGTTGGTTAAAGACGGTGCCACGCTGCTCCTTGGTTTTATTTTAGTGTACCCTACACACACCTTGTTTGTATGTGCAGTAAGCGGCTTTTTTGCAGCATTCCTATTTTATACCCTCTAAACATGTCCCCATAATCAACCAAAACAATGACATTCAATTTTTTTCTGTTACACTCTACCTGAAATGAACTGTAATCCTTAAATAAGTTAAATTACGTCATTGGCTTATAACATACCTCACAACGATAGTTTAGATAAAAGTTTGTGTCTCGTAAAAAGAGTATGCAATGGGTAGTGTCCCATATTTCCACGTCAACACTCCGTATTGCATATTAACTCATACCAGGTTTCGGTGCTGCTCCGCTGTGGTCATCAAAGTGTGCCTACCTCACAACAACGGCCATGGCATATGCAAAAAACAACAATCAAGACCAAGATACAGTAATAACTCGATTCTTTGGGATATTTTTCATGATATTTCAATCCGCTCAAGTTTGGGGAAACTTGATTTCGTCAGCTGTATTGCAGCGATCTGAAAAATCATCGGTAAATTCTACAAATTCCTCTGGATATGACGTTAGAGAATTGTGTGGTGCCAATGATTGTGGCGCAGGTATAGTGTATGATATTCACTTTGTACTGACTCTAAAATATATATTTTGCTGCCGATGTAAAATTCCATGTTTCTATGATCATGTATTTGAGCTAAAGTATAACGTAGTCATTGTCTGTCTGAGGTTTAGCGTTTGAGTAGCTTCTTGGAGCATGTGATTTTTGCGGCAAACAAAATAACTTTACCACTCGATAAATTTTACCAAATCGTTTTATTTAGACTTGTCCCAAAATAGTTCATCCGTCCTATTAGTGCCTGACCATTCCACAGTCGTGATGTTGGTGAGCATATACCTCGTATGTGGCGCTCTGTCAATTGTGGTCGTACTTCTATTACTTGACAAGCTACATGATGAGGATAAAAAAGAACGACCGCCAATGTTTCGTTTGTTTTTTGCCACATTACGTCATCTCAAAGATTATCGGATGATTCTTATCATTCCTCTTACAATGTACAGTGGCCTGGAACAGGGCTTTGTTTTCGCAGATTTTACGAAGGTTAGAATATTGATTCGAGGTTAGGTTATTCGAGTTTAAAACGCTTTCACGGTCAGGAGGGGAAAATGCCTGACAGACCGAGGCCTGAAAGTCTATGTATAGTTCACCCTGTCTAGTGATTTATGGTCAGGCATAATGCACCAAATCTGTCCCCGAGGAATTCCTAGTAAGCGTCAGTCATCAGCTCGCGTTGATTACGTCCCTGTCCTTTGTACACACCGCAACAGTCCCTCTAAGAAGTCGAGAGTGATTCGCGAATCGTCTGACTATTTTTCAGATCAAGGTCTCGTTCGGTTCGTTAACGGAATTACCCAAACAAATCACTCCACCAACTAAGAACGGCCATCCACCACCCATAAATTCTAGTGGATCGTTCGTAATCGAAACTAGTCATGCATAGGTTTATATTATTGGTAATACCCAGGTATTTTCATTAAGCTCTATTACTTTATCATAACTGAATCTAAGACTGCATATATATGCTAGTGATACAGATATTACTGGTTGCCATCTGGCCTGTGCCTGGAAAATACATTTCTGAAAGATCATAATGCATGCATGGTATCTTCATTCATCGATAGATTATCAAGCACATATTCTTCTGTTTAGTCATTTGTCACATGCATCTTTGGAATTGATAAAGTTGGTTATGTTATGATATGTTTTGGCATTGGTGACTCATTGTTCTCATACCTGCTTGGCAAGTTGGTAAAATACGTTGGACGAATACCGATATTTATCTCTGGCGCAGTCATACACCTTGTTGTTTTCATTGTTCTGCTAACCTGGAAACCTGACCAGGACATGATTTCTGTCGTGTTCCTTATGGCTGCGCTCTGGGGTTATACTGACGCCGTCTGGCAGACGCAAATTAATGGTAATATTAATATTTAAAGTATTCACTATCAATTTGGAAGGTTTCTACCGTTTAAATGAAACTGCAGTAGCGTAGCCAGCCTGTCGATTTGTCCCGCTATGCTAATATTTTAGTGTTCACTGACTGTGAAAACAATAGATTTCTAAAGGCATGAATAATTATAATAACTCGAAATTTACACAGCGGGACAAAATCGTCAGGCTGGCTACGCCGCCACTGAATGAAAGGCTTCTACTGTGTTGAAACAAAGCTGGAAAAATATGCGATTTTCACCAAGATGTTTAAAAAACTCTTTCCTACCTTCCTTTATATGGTTCAAAAAATATTTCATTCAACAATCAGAAACAAAATCTATTTTAATTTACATATCGGTTACCTTTTTTACACACTGCATGTACAATATCATTATCAGAAGTGGTCAGCCAGTGGACAGTTACATCACTTACATACGGCGCAGTTTTGATAGTTATTTGGCAGCATTTCTAACAGGCTATTTATTTCTAGCGTTGTACGGAGTTTTGTTTCATGATAATCAGGAAGCAGCGTTCTCTAATTATCGTCTTTGGGAATCGCTTGGTTTCGTCATCAGCTTTGCCTTGAGCAGTTTTATATGTGTCAGGTATGCTGCAAAAAAGACACTTATTTCCACGAAAGTTATCAGCGCCATCTTTTTTCATATCACCGTTATTACAAAAAGAGTCTTTTTTGACTCGGTCCGATATATCTCTCGGTTAATAAGAAGTCTGATATCCAAACATTCTTCATATTCGCAATTTACATTAACATCTACCCACTCATGATTATCCATCATCATAATACAGTTGTCATATCAAAGTCAGACTAAATAATAATTGGATTTCGCAAAATCATATCTGCCATACTGCAATCACTTTGGTCATCCGTTTTGGTTATCCGTCCGAAATGAATTAATGCAATTATTTCCCACCTTATAGGGTTAAAATATACATCCTCATTGCAGTTCTTGTGATTGGAATGATATTGTACGCAGCTGTGGAAGTCATGTATAGACAGTCCTCTAAAAATTTCAATCCTAAGCATAACGAGTAAAAAACTGAAGTAGAGTATTTTCTTCATAATTTGTTTAAAAACAGCTAATTTAAAACAGACAATAGTAAACACCAGTTGGTAGTACTAGAGAATATTAGAAAACTTGTATGATTCCTTTCTTTACTATCAACGTTATATTATATGCTATATGAACTATTGCAGGAATAATTATTCGAGTGTTATTTTGAATGTTTTCTAAATGTGCTTGGGATTGTGTTCATCATCTGTTTATCATCTGACATGATGTCATTGAAAACATCTTGGCTGTAATTTGAATCTGACCATTAAAATGACCAAAAATCCCAATATTTCCTATTAACGCAGCCTACGTCGTTGACCCATCCGTCACGGAAGGCCAGTTGCACAGAATTGGCCAATCAGAGTCATGTATTTCGGAGTTAACTATAGGATTTAACTATGCAAAATGTAAATAAATTATGACTTTTGGCCCTTCACTCGATGCAGGTAAATTCTTGAGGTTCAAAGGGTCTTAATTTCGAGTGGAATTATGCACACTTCAAATTCAAGCCAGGAACAGTTGAGTCAACTACCAGTCCTCCGACAGGAATCGAACCTATACGCTTTTGCGATGCCGGTGCAATGCTCTTGCCACTGACATATGCAAAATGTAGTTAAAAAAATTTATACAACCGGCCTCTGTCTTCCACTTATATCGTGACCAATTAGATATAGCCGAGTGCTTTGCGGAAACGATAATATATGCCGCTATGTGTCACTCTGCCATGACGTTCAAATGAAGACAAACAGTAAACTGTAAACGATCGTGAACTCTAGCTACTAGTTGCATTTCTTTTCTCCTCGTTTTCTGGTTTATGTAATAGTAGAACCACAATTAATCTATATGGCGAGGTTAATCTTTCCTTTACGTCATTCACGTCTTAAAGGTACTTTATTTTGTAATATTTTTTATTTTTACTAGCTGTATATAGATATACGTTCAGGTTACTCATGTCAACTTCAACCTCAGAAACCTAAGGCCCCGTTTACACTATACCGGATTGCTTCTGAAGTGGGTACAAATTTGTAGCTAAAAGACAGTAAAAGGTTTTACTGTCGGAGTTCGAAATAATCGTATTACTGAGTATAAGTGTTGCGTTACTGGAGCATTCACGAATGCGATTACTGATTTCTGACTCCTGTTAAAACGACCTCTATAAGCCGGATTATTTCAAGACACTGTGGGCGAGAATCGTGGCAAGGGATGGATATTTCATTGTCTTTCAAACTCATTAGTTCTAGCCGAGTGTTTTGGAAACAATAATATATGCTGCTTATGTATCGATAACTCTGCCATACGATAAGGGTTGCTTTGCGCTTACCCGTTTTTTAGACCCGAGTACGTAAAAGTCACTCAGGCTAATCCTTCTTATATACGTATATGTCTATTTGAAAAGGTTAGGTGAATAAATCGAAAGAACTTTGTTCTCCGCATACTTTAGTATGCATTTGTTGACCCGTGTGTTAGATGACAAAAATTTAGCAGCATTTAAAGCTTTGCTGCTACCACTGTCGCGTTTTTTGTACGTACCGTGCACACGCACGTAAAAGTTTAAATGATGTTTATGAAATCCACGATTGAATAGACGCATAGAGTTGAATTCTGTTGATGATTTGGAGTGTTTTTTCTGGCATAAAATTAATTATGCCGCAACTTAGAAGGTTGCGTGTACGCACGTGCAAACAACGCGACAGTGGAAAGCAGCCTTAAATGGAAAGCAGTCTATATCAGGCCAAATATATATATATATACATATATTCACCGTGGTTTCTAAACAATGAAATTTACATGTACATATCAAACTACACAAATATGATTACAAATAAATAAAAAACGCAAGACAAATATCTGATGCGCTCCCACTCGCCTGATCGCAGGTTAACCCGAGATCAGTAGATCCTACAACCACAGTCAAACAGTGAACGATCGTGAACTGTAGCAGCATTGCGTTTCTGCTTGTTTTACTGGTTTGTGTGAATAGTAAAACTACCGAACAAATTTACCATGGCGAGGTTAATCTTTTCTTTACGTCGGTGTCATTCACACCTTGAAGGTAATTTATTTTGTCGTATTTTTTAGCAGAAGATACGTGCGCATTATTGCCGCGCACCACATTTGACACGTAAACTAGGGATCCACCAAACCTGATACTCACAGTTTTTCTTTTTACTGCTGGTAAAAAACTTGAGAAACCTTGAATCAAATCGAACGTTTATTCCCTATAATATTGACGTTGACGAAGCATCCGTCTCTGCACTAAGTGTTCTCATGGTTCATTCGCAACTGACCTTCTGATAAAATATGACGTGTATTCTCCAGAAATTTGGATTTATTTCTGATTTACAAAATCGTTTGTTTAATAAATAAGTAAAAATTGAACCTAGCTTATTGTACCAGCGATTCACGATCAGATCGGCCAACCTGAGATGAATATAATTATACTAGTTATGAAAGAATTTTCAACACTACCGTATTTATTTTTGTTGAGTATGCGAACCATTAAGTGTACTGTAGCGTGGTACTTCAGTAGCACTTGCGTGGTGCAAAAGTATAGAGTATGTGCGCAGAAGAGCGCATAATTTTGGGATATTAAGGCCCTGTCTGCACGATGCCGCAAGAATTCGAATCATTTTCTGATTCTTCCGTTTTCAGCGGGCGAAAACGCCGGAACGTGTGGACGGTACGCGTAACCGTAAGAATATTCTTGCGTTTCTTGGTTAAGAATCATCAAGGCAGAGGCTAGGCGTTATCTACCGAAGCCGTAGCCTGCAACGCAGACTATATATATGGGATATACCCCATATATAGTCTGCGTTGCAGGCTACCGAAGCCGTAGCCTAATGCAGACAACACCAAGCCCGGCCTTGATAATTCTCAATAACATGCGAAAACCGAATCCAATTATTTTATTATTATTATTATATTATATACAATATTCGTTTTGATTGATTAGCTACCTATACAAATTTGATTAATAGCGTTTTCGAATCGTTTTCGACTTTTTGTGTTTATACGTGTGGACGCGCGAATAAATATTTTAACGGAAATTTAAATATATTTTTGCGTTTTCAAATTCGTCCGGCCTCGTGTGGGTTTTAATCCTACACCAACATATCATCACATTTCTCACTGCAACCTGTAATATCACGAACTCATGATCATCTTTGTCTTGCGTTAACCTAGCTATACTTGGGTTTCAAAATGTTAATCTTCGCCCATTTCTTTATATAAGGCAAATAAACCGCAGTTTATTATATCATGTGATGCGCCATGCGCGTCTATTTGTATAATCATGCAATGCATGGATGAATCGATCCTAATAAAATTAATAAAATACAAAGCAATCTATGCACTGTATCTCTATAATAAATTCCGGCTCCGCTAGATATTCTCGGCTCTGCTACTGCAATCTTTATAGAATATAAACGTACCGCAATGAATATATGTTCCAATATAGCCAGGGAGCAGCGTGGCAGGGTCTTCAAACAACTTAGCATCAAATGTGGTATAACAACTGCCTAAAATAGACAAAACACTTCTCGACGTTTCGACCTGAGGGCCTATTAAAGTCAGGAGAGTAGTTGCTAACTGACGAAGGCCCTCAGGTCGAAACGTCGAGAAGTGTTTAGTCTATTTTAGGCCAGTTGTTTTACAATGAGTATATATCTTCTCACCTTAATATCTGACCTAATATGATACCTGTCGTGTTAACCAAAATGTCAGGTGATTTGCAGAACGTATATTTTTAAAATGTATTTCCGAGTGTAGTTGTCAACTTGTGGTGTGTTTCCAGTTATGCCTATACGTTTTAGCATAAATTTCCCAAATTTTGGTAAAATTTGATCCACGTATACCCTAGCTGAAACTATTTTTGATAATTTGATTTGTTTTATAGCACAAATGCAACTTCTTCCATCTCTGCTGCACAAGAGAACAGTGACCGGTATGCACTGGGATCGCGAAGTGGACGTTGCCGTTATTGGCTCAGGCCTTGGCGGAATGACGTCAGCTCTGTGTTTAAAAGAGATGGGGATCGATAGAATTGAGGTTTTCGAAAAAGCAGCCAAATTTGGGGGTGCCAGCGCTGTTTCTGGTGGCGGTATATGGATTCCAAATAGCCATTACGCTAAAGCCAGTGGATCACAAGATTCCGTTGAAGATACAAAAACTTATCTTGACAGTATCATAAACTATAACGAAGTCCCCGAAGAGCTTGTGGACAGCTACATTGAAAACGGGCCGAAAATGTTGGAATTTGTTACAAGAATGGCATCGGAAGTTAAGTACGTCTCCCTGGAACACTATCCCGATTACCACTCCCAGAGCCCAGGCTCCCGCACAGGCGGCCGTTCACTAGAACCCATGCCACTAAACTGGGATGAGCTTGGTGATGACATGGGCGCAATACAAGAAAGTCATTTTGATAACTACATACTTGACCGTTGGCTTTTCACCCAAACTGAAGCCCATCACCTTATCACCCGCACACCTGAAGCCTGGAAAATTGTGGGAAGAGAATTGGCACGATATTTCCGTGACACGTTTTGGCGCAAAAGGAACAACACGAAAAAGTCGCGTCGTTTGACACTGGGCATCGCGGGTATCGCGCGCATGTTTCTCGCCTTGAAGAATCGGCATATTCCGGTGACGCTCAACTGCGCGATGACCGGGTTGATAACGGAAAGTTCAGGAAGGGTAATCGGTATCAAAGCGAAACACTGCGATCGAGATATAAACATCAAGGCTGAAAAAGGCGTCGTACTTGCAACGGGAGGCTTTGAGTATAACCCTGATTTACGCAAGAAGTATCTGCCAAAGCCAAGCTCCGCAGAGTGGTCAGCAACTGGCATACGGACGAACACTGGTGACGCCTTACTCGCGAGTTTGTGCCTTGGCGCAAAAACCCGGTTGCTGGACAGTGCCTGGTGGGGTAGTACCGTGAAAGCACCCGACGATCCATCATCGCGCCTTTTAATCATTCCAAAAACCCTGCCTGGTTCTATTGTTGTCAATATGCAAGGAAAACGAATTGCGAACGAGTCGAAAAACTACATGTCTTACGGAAAGGAGTTTTTCGCTTCACATAGTGATGCTAGTCCCAACTATCCCTCTTATCTGGTGTTCGACAGGCGCTTTCGCGAGCTTTATTACATAGGACCTTTGAAGACTAAACATCTCCTCCCTGACAAACGTATCCCAAATGACTACTTCACCTCGGGCTTTTTGGCGATAGAGAAGAGCATTGATGCGTTGGCCGATAAACTCGGTATCGATAAAGTTGGCCTAAATGCGGAGATCAATAAGTTTAATGATTTTGCCAAAACCGGAAAAGATGAGGATTTTAAACGTGGAGATACGGTTTATGATCGTTACTATAGCGACCCAAATGTCACGCCTAACCCTTGTCTTCACTCAATCAATCAAGCGCCATTCTATGCGATGCGAGTGGAGCCGGGCGATATTGGAACGCATGGAGGTATGGATACAAACAGTCATGCGCAAGTTCTCAAGGAGGATGGTAGTGTGATTGAAGGTCTTTATGCAATCGGTAACTGTGCTGCAGCTATCTTACCTAGTTACCCAGGTCCAGGTTCTACTTTAGGGCCAGCAATGACTTTTGGCTACCAAGCGGCAAAGCATATTAGTGGATTTGAACATTAGGCGTTCCCTCTCTCAGCAATGTGATAAAGCGGAGGAGAACACAGCTGGAGAATTCTTAATCTAATTTTTGGGAAACTAAATGTTAAATGCATGTTCACATATTGCATACTTCTGATTAAAAGGTGCATGATTTATGATAGAGTTTATCAAGTGTTATCATTATTTATCATTAAGTTTCAGTGTAGTGGGACCAGATTATTTAGGATCGCAAGTTACCACCAGGGGGAGAGGAAGTGGGAGAACTACCAGACAGTACCGTCAAATTAATACTCCACTACTCCTCTACAACTACTTCGCAACAGGACAAAAAAATAATCGTGGATTAATTAAAAACGATCAATAGTTTTAAAACTTAAGCATAAAAAGATCCTACTTAGTAAATTTGAATTGGGATGATTAATTGTAATAACCTTCTTAATCATCGTAATTGTAAACTTCAGGTGCATGTAATTTCTATTAAATATAACAGGCATTTTCCTCTTTTTCGAAGTCATAATCCTAACGGTCAAAGATTCATGGCTGGGGTGTCATATGTATAACCATAAAATATCGGCGAATTGAGCTACGATCACCGACCGATATAGGCAACTACCTCATGTTACTGGGGTGTTTATCAGTGTTCTTATTCATAAATAAAATCTGTATAGGGTTTCACTTTTCGGAGTACGAACTTCTTGTACTGTATGGTAGATGCCAATTAACAAAAATAGTGTTTGTTTCGAGGATTCTTTGAGGGTATAATCTCAACAATGCAATAGAAGCTATTCTGTGACAAATATGCAAGTGAAGATTCTGACTGGGTAGGCAAAAATTAGTGGAATAAAGGAGCCAATTGTGCTGTGCAGAGCCTTCATCTAATGCCCCGAAACAATCGTTTTTAAACGATAAAACTTTCTGGGGAACGTCTGACGTGACTTATTTTGTTAAGCATTGCGTTAGATATATAGATTTATTTGCTCATGTTTCTTTTTTTAAAAAATGAAGGTATATAGGTTTCGTTATTGCATTTCCGTTTATTGCGTGATTCGACTCGGTTGTGAAAATGATAATTCTTAGGAAATTCAATTCATTGACATTAATTCCAATGATTTTGCGTGACATGAACTGTTATGTTGAAAGCAAAACTCAGTGAGTCGGCGATCGGATCGAATCGAATCTGATACATCCTGTTATTGTGGTATATATATTGAGCTACTCCAGTCTTTCAGATTTAGTTACAGTTTACTCTTTGTGTTTTGCGAATTGAATTCATTTAACATGTTAATTGCATGGGAGACGGCTATACAGCTTTGTGTAAGTATTTGAATGACTTGTATATTAATTACTCTAGCTAGTCAGCCTTTGATCCCAATTATACAGCTCTCTCTCTCTCTCTCTTCCTCTCTCTCTCTCTCTCTCTCTGCATGATGTCACGTTCGTGTCCTGACTAAATGCTGTAACTTTTCACAGAAGTTGTGCTACATGAAAGTGTCGAGGAATTCCATCCTAAATCTTTTTGCTAATAAATCTATGTTTTCTGGGATTTGAAAATCATAAGACCCACTTTATCTTGCTTATTGATATTAATATCCATTTAAATGTGTTGCCCGAGAAATTAATTGTGGATTGTCTTTCATTATTTTTAGCAAGAAAATTGGTAGCTTATCGAAATGGCGCAATCAGCACTAAACCTCCAACAATATGAGGATCTCGTTCATGCCATTGATCGGGTGCCAAGATTCGCCACTGGAGTCAAATCGTTCCCGGAGATGGCAAAAATCTATTATGAGAAGATATATTCAAAGGCGTTAAATGAAAACGTACCACCAATTTTTGAAATCTTCATTGCCTTTGTTTTTTCCAAGTTTTCACTGAAGGAAAAACTGAGGGAATATTTCGACGAAGAGCCTCCATTTGAGCTTAAAGAGGCAGTTTTGTCGGGGAGTTGGTCTGAAGGATTAGTTTTATTTGATCCAGATTCATTTGATCCTCCAGATGTAGACTTTCTGTGTATACTTAAAAACATTAGTTTTACTGAAGAAGATCAAGCAACTGGTGACTTGTCTATCATTGACAATTCTCCTTTCGTTAATGCCTATCTTTCGGACATAAAGTCACTTGAATTATGGCAAGCGTATTTTATAGAAGCAGCATCTGAAGCATTAGAAGGTAAAATATGCCAGATTTCCTCAGCGAAACTCAAAGAACGTCTTTATGATAATTACTCAAAAGGGGACAATTTTTTTACCGTTTCTTCAGAGCACTGCAATCCGATTTCAGATGGCCCTGCTTTAAAACTGTCCAGAGTCTCGGCCGGTTCTTCATCTTTTGGCGACAATTTATTACAAACTTTGCTAGAAAACCTTTGGCGATGTAGCGATCTCGTTTTAGCAATCCAATGCCATGGTTGGCCGCGAAATTCTCTAGAATGGATTCGTCGTGAACGAAATTGGCCTTCAATAGAGGTTGTCGAAAGAATCACGAAAGAGGGCTTTCACATTGTGGCTAAAAGTTCCTGTGAGGGAAATTTTCGATTGTCGTTTTCCTGGGCAGAAGGAATTCTTATTGCAAGTCTAAACAAAATGCAGCATAAGACAATTAGAGCATTCAAGGCGGTCATTAAATTGCTATTACCATGTAATCCTGACCAAGAGGAAATCTTGGAATCCTATCACTTAAAAACAATTGCATTTTGGCACATTGAGAAGTCAGACCCAGAATCCTGGAGTAAAGATAATAGTGCAAATCACCTGCTCCAAATGCTTAGAGAATTAAATCAAGCATTGCGTAAGAAAAGTCTGCCTATGTACTTTATAAGAACTTACAACTTGTTTAGCAAGGTCGAAAATTTATCGCAATTGGAAAAGTTGTCAGATAAGGTGGATGAAATTTCGAAAGACATCTCAGGCTTGACCAATGCTGTAAGAATGGGCGCTAGTTTTCATTTTTACGAAACACATAGAGATTATTTTAAAGCGTTTTTCCCAAAATGCTAACTAAATTTTATTTCGTGGTTTTAAAAAACATTTGTTTCGCGTGACTGGAAAGGTTTATAAGTAAGCCATATGGAAAAAACTATTAACGCGTACTGCTAGCTAGGTATTAGCATTATTATATTATTAAGTTTATTATATCATTAAGTTACTCCAATAGGGGTGGGGAGATCACTTGGTTGAATAACCATTGCAATTCCTCGAATGACCACAATAGCATTTTGACCATAGTTTTGACCAACGACACTTTGTTTAGAGTAATGTGAAGTATATCGATTTTGAAATAGCAATATGGCGGTGAAATTCATCAAATTTTATATAAAGTATAGTTACTTTATATAGTAATATAAATAGTATATTATTTTTTTATTTTACCTCGCGAGGGAGTTTAAATTAAAAACAATCCGTCTTCGAAAAAATATTGCTCCTCCACCCTGTGTGCATCCCACTGATTACACTGACGAAGTTTCGTATATTTGTACCTACTAAGAGCCTGCGATCCTTGAAGAAACCAAAAAATTCGAGCCACTAAGTTAATATAAATGGTCTGAACAAGTGAATTTATGTAATCGAAGTTTTATTTTTGGTAGTTAAAAAATGTTTGTGCATTAATGCACTTTACTATAAACGAAACAGAAATGTTTTCGATGCATGCACACTTACGTTTTTGCTCTACTTTCTGATACTTTTTGATACTTTATGCAATTTGGAAATATGGTAGATTTGTGCCATGAACTTCATACAAGAACGAAGGTCGATCATGAACGTAGCGACAAATTGGTGGGTAGTAATGTAGTATATGATGACGTATGTAACCAGTGGCCCCAACGGGTCTTTTTAGTAGTAAACTAAATTAGGCTAGGGAGTGGAGTACGTACCCTAAGGGAGTACATTAAATCTGGATGTATATTTAACTTTGTACATTTCACTTTGTGCATTTTAGTTATGCACAGTGCGTGAAATGGCATTTTAGGGCCATCACATCAATTCTATTCTTTATACATGTATATGTTTTCTATCAAGATTTTGATTTGTATCACTATATTTATTAGATAAATGTATTTTTAGATAAATTTAAAGCTCCTTGTTGTTGCAACTGATCAAGCATTATGGGTACAGTAAATATATGAATTTCTATCATACTAAAAGATTTCTTCATAAAGTTGAGCTTCAGCTGAAAAGAAGTTAAATTTATACACAACTCAACACTTTTCAAAATGTAATAACATGCTTCCATTTGTAATACAGATTACATACAATTACATCCTGATTTTTCATAAGTCTGAAATTTAGTTTGGTACGGAAATGGTTTATTACCAGCTGTAAATTATAGTATATTTATTTTAACTGTTGTTATATTTCATTTAATAGAGCAAGACCATTGCAAATTTCTATTTTATATTTCAAGCTCTTGAGGAAGAACTTTTTCGTCACAGTAAGAGCTTTGTGACTAAATATATTACTTTCATTTAAATATTTTCATCAGAAGGTTCTTCTTGACAAAGGCAGATTTAAAAATGCAGGCTTACTATGATTGACTCTGTATATGTATTTTATTACTTACAGAAGATCACAAACATTTCTGGTGTCTCTATATTCCTGAGCTTTTGCGATGCAAGGCATTTGAAGAGGTAGATTAGTTTAGCATATTTTTACTGAAATATTAGAAAAAATTCTTGGCAAAACACAATCTTCTTTTTTCTTATGTATTTCATTAAACTGTCTGCTTGTAAAGGTTCTCAGTAAAAATAACTTGGGTGGGAGGCAATTCATACATACAGCTTTTAGAGCTCTAGGTTATGAAAACCCTAGATTTTTGAGAAACAGACAACAATATTGCAGCGCTATTTTAGTTAGGTACGCATTCTTTGCGATATTATATAGGATATCCTGACGATAAAAACGATTCTGCAAAAAGTCATGTAGGCTGGTCCATGAAGTCTTATGAATGCTGCGTGCAGGGCCGTAGCTAGAAGCTTAACCCCCCCCCCTCCCCCCCCAATTAAGCGGTCAAGCTACGGTCCTGGCTGCGTGAACAATCGACAATCAGTAGTAACTGATATAGTGACACAGTCGGTCAATTCACTTAGCATTCAACATTTTCAACACTAGGATTTACATTACTTCTTTGGGGACAATTGGTCGTCTATGGTTTCTCCAAGCCCAGCTACAGTAAGTGCAGGCAGTGTTGGAAGGTATTGCATGTAAAACATGCACATTAACTTGTGACAACGTTATAGACGGTGGACCGAATCTTTGAATGGATTCACACACAGTACACTCCGATGGATTTTTCCAAGCTGGCAAAAGACATATTGTACCTTATTGTACCACCCTAACCGTTGCAGAACTTGCCAGTGAAAATCCGCGTTAATGACGGACATTTCATATTCACATTACGTATTTCATGATTTTGTAGAAAACCTTTACGCAACACATCCACGCTGTTGGCAGAGACAATCCGATATTGTTGGTAGCCTACTGTCACTCATTTTACCTTGCATTGATGGCAGGTGGGCAGGTAATACGTCTGAGTTTTGACCAACACGTATTCTAGTCTGTGGGACCTAAATTGAGTCTTGCCAAATTTCAAATAGCTACGTGTGGGTCGAAAGTAGTCATGATTGACATGTGTGCAAGTTGCTTTGTGCAACCCCAGTCCCAAGCAATAGTACTAAATCACGTTTTAACGGCTAATGATATGGTTGCATGGAGGAGGCTAATTCTGTAGTTAACGATTACTAAAAATATTTGTCTGATGTTCCATAGATCATAAAGAGCATGATAACGAAATCTCTTGGTCTAAAAAACGGTCTTGGGACGGCCGCTTTTCAATTTAGAACGAAGGCACGTATACAATATTCCAACACCGTTCCGGCAATTTCCACGACCCTAAAAAACACTATCCTGCAACTAGCGCTGCCCTGTCGACTATGGTCAAAGTGTCAAACCGATCCACGGACCATTCGCCGAGACATTATTCACCAATAATATATCAGTAAAATGCTTATGTATAAGTATAGTGGTTTCCAGGCAATATAATCAGGGTATGAAATAAATAATTATCATGTATGGGAATTATATTCCCGTTATTTTTTTAGAGCGCGAGTCAGCTAAAGAAACAGTTGAAAGATTCTATAAACGGCCTTGGCGTTGATGAGGAAATGAAAAACAAACTCATCAAAGAAAAGGTTGGCTGATTGAGAATATCTCTAGTGACCGGTCACTTCGAGACGCACATGTTCCCCTTTGTTGGAATCGCCCAGCAACAATCGTTCATGGCTTAAAGTATATGCATCCTTAGAACGTTGCTATTAAACAGCGCTTTTGAGGAAATCATTTAACTAAAATTAACAGGCCTTGTTTTAGAGGCACATTTGGCTGGTCATTTTCCATTGACTGACCGTTATTTTGAGACCTGCATGAGTCCACCTGCGATTTGTATCAGGCTTCTGCCGTCTCACATACTTCCTGTTTTTTCCCCAAGATTCTTGCATACAACATGACCAATGCAATTGTTAAAGAGATCAAGCTTGAACCTGCATCGTAAGTTGTTAATTTGAAAATATTCATCCAATTTTGCTGCTATATAGGCGGGCCTAGTCTCCTATAGCCTGCATGGCAGGCGGTAAAGTTGCAGATTTTATGCTTCAGTCCATAGTAAATTATAAAGAAGCGAGTATAAGAGGCATACAGATTACTCCCGCGCTTATATTTATCATCTTATAAAACAGTTATTTCAGATAGAAGTGAGCATGCATCACTTTTCATTCTTCGGCCGAGGTCAATCAGCCGCACCTTGTCTAATCTTGTAATATTCTTTTGTAGATTCGCTGGAATTGTAAAATTTCTGTTCGTGTTTCTAATCATACCACTGGTGATGGCGTATATTATATACTGTCAATACTGTGTATATTTTAGTAGACACTGAACTTCATATACAGATTTAGGATCATTTAGATATCGGCCGGAAGCGTGTAACTTTAGTTACAACATAACCTTCCAGTCGCAGTAAAAAAAGTATACAAAATTGCCAAATATGCATGGCTGTATTTTCCGCACTTTACAATATTTTGCAGCCAAACTTTGCAATTTTACTAAGTTTAGTATGCTCTTTTCGAAAATTCCCTTTTTGTCCCAAAATCAAAAGTTGGTCTATTATGCATGCAACCTTAAACTTTGCAAATAAAAATCAACCACGGAGTGAATATATTATTACTTTGAACTAAACTTACATTAAGGTTAAGGTAAAATGTAATCTAACTACTGCTATTATTGCGTATAATTAAATTGATTAACGAGTGTAATTTTTTAATAAAACGTGATTTGCTAAAGCTGCCTTCAGTATGGAAAAATGTGCATATCTTAAGGCCTATTTGGACTACATGATAAGTTGTATGCAATTTTATCATTCTGACGGATGCAAAAGAGGGCCTATGCCACAATCTTCATTCATATTGTTCAGGGTTGAATTTAAAGTGTCATGTTTGTACGTGTGTTTATACATTAATTCACATACTCCAGGGTACGAATCGTTTGCGACAAATCGCTTAGTGTAAATGGGCTTTTATCATGCAGTTGGTCATATTTACTTTGTCTGGTGATAAATTAAAAAGATCGTCATCAAGTATTTTCAACTCAATTCATATTGCCCTAAAATAAACAGTTGAGCAACATACTAGATCTTTTAGCGATACTAGTTTCCCATCTAAATTAAGAAAAAAAGATAAATTTTCCTCCATCTAATTGAAGGACATCCTCAAGAAAATATGAGAATCTTACAGCGCCTTATCTCATCTTGCCTTGTCCTATAATAGACCTTAAAAAAAGTTTCAAATATAGCGGTGCTATGCTTTGGAATCAGCTCCCAAACGAAGCAAAATCAGCCGAGTCGCTTCGTTTGTTTAAATCAATTGTTGGACACTGAAACGCATCCTACTTATTCATATAATCTATCTATGTGTGAAACTGTCTGTGTGTATTTTGTCCTGTTTTGTAGTCATATTAACTGTTTTTTAAAATTTAAACACGCCCCTCATGGAAACCAGCCTAGAGTTGACGGGGCTTGCGTGTTTCTTGGTTTTAAATAAAGTTTACCTACCTACATACCTGAAGAAATGGGACTCAGAAAGCACACATGACACAAGAGAGAGTTAGATGGAGTTTGCAGGACACAATTGCATAGCATTGTTTTGTACTCTTGCTTAAAGGAAAGGAAAGTAGGCGTTTAGGAATCGAATTTTAATAATCCTACACTCTTAATAAATTGACCATGAATAATGTAGCAAGTGTACCTTCCTACGCAACAATTAAGGAGCATTGTAGCGCATTCGATATTCAGCAATTATTATTCATTTAATTCGCCTTATATAAAACCTATCCAACTGCGCAGGTGCAACGATGTATACGTCTTTCATTTGAACGATGCCAAGAATAAACCATTTGAAAAAATGCAGGTTGTTCTCACATGCGAGTCAGATGAAATTCTTTTGTTAGGAACAAACAAACAAGAATATACCATCTGTAGCGAGTATACATGAGCGACAGTTTCAAAAAACAATAAAAAGGAACCATTGGTCGGACTTGGTCTAAAGTTTAACATCACAATATGTATGATTAAAAAGTATGTACCGAGACGGTTCTAAAAACGAGAATATTTCGTACGATTTCCCATGTAAATATAGGCGAATCAAATCTTGTAATGCAGTGCTTTAGCTCATTTTCACATTCATTCATGTAAGCTCCGAGAGAATTACTAATTCTAAAATCCAACTCATTTTCTGATTTTAATTCATTTTGAGCTATTTTGACTGCACGTGTTTTCTGTTAGTTTAAGAAATACTTTTGTATCCGACAGTTACATAGAGACAGTAATAAAAATTGATTACTCTTATTGCAATCTAGCCATCATTTTAATAAAAAGTGATGAACAATTTGGCAATATTTACATAGAGCCAGTATACCGACACTATATAAGTATCTGTAGAGATGCATTATTTGATATAATAGTTAATGTTGCAGTATATATAAATGCATAATATCTAGACCGTGCTTGGGAAAGAAAGAATAACAGAAGAAATTTTGCTGATATTCATCGATGAATAAAATATAGTCATTGCCATGCGATCAATCAATTGAATGTCAAGGCATAGTCAAGGCAACCTTTTTTTAACCTTGTGAATCTTTTTGTCAGATTCCAATGAAAAGCTGAGAACAAGGGACAGAATGAAACACATTCTGCATTAGCCATTACAGAATCTGAACGACAAAAGCGTGCCGTATAACGAACATATAATTGCATTTATCAGTCTGACAGTTTCACTACGAAAAAAATTTAACATGAAGATGAACGACACTAACTTCTCAGGAGCAGCAGACCATTTCGCCGGAACCAAGGCGTTATACAAAATTTTATTCGTTGTCTTTGATGGCGTCAGCATCGGAGGTAATCTCGCAGTCATTCTTACTATTCTTCTAAACAAAAACATGCGCTCTGGTGTTTTCTTATTGCTTTGTAATCTTGCAATATCAGATCTTCTCTTTGCGATGTTAGCACCATTTCACTTCAAGACGCTGATGGAAAACTATCACTGGCAATACGGAGAGATATTTTGCAAAGTATATTTTCTCTCTTATCGCTTGTTGTACGCTGTTTCAATGTTTAACCTCATGGTGATAACTGTCCAGCGTTTTCGTGCAACCCGGTACCCAATCGCCTTCCGTTTTAAATCAGGAAGAACAAGCTTAATTATTGTAACATGCTGGATCCTGGGTGTGATTATTTCTTCACCATTTTTCTTCGTAATGAAATACACGAGAGAAGGCGGTCATAACAGTTGCTACCAAGAATGGCCTAACGATGAGACTAAACGCGCATATTACTTCAGCATTTACATCCTTATGTATATTTTGCCGTGTTTTTTAATGGCGGTGCTGTACGGAATCATGTTTGTGATACTACGTAAACCTCCGATTGGAGACGAAAACGAAACGCAGCGAAGACATTTAGAAAAGAGGAAAAGAATGTCGTTTATCATTGGAATTATAGTTGGGGTTTTTCGTTTGTTGGACGCCATATAATATCTTGGAGTTCATTCAAGTGATGGATCTACAATCAGGGACTCGAATTGCAGCAGGCTACAATTACTCTATTTTGGCTGTGCTATTGAGCCCACTTTTTAATCCAATCTTATTGAGTTTTATGTCCTCTGAGTTTCGTAAAGGTATCAAAACTCTCTTCCATCGTTGTTCTTGCCACGATTGTGGTAGTTTTAACGTTAACGACATCGGGAGTATTACAACACGGAATCATGAGATATAGAGATTGGGAGATACAATTCTAGTGCCAGTGCCACAGTACGCCCAAAACAAACAAGAGGAGGGAAATTTGAACCAAACTTTAATATTCATGTAGTAGATGTTATATTTACATAGTCTGGGATAAATCAAGGGTAAAATGTCCTGAATATTTTTCCACGGAACAAGCAATATTGACATTTGCATTATATTGAAAATTAACATTTCCACCAAAAACACAAGGCTTACCTAGAGAGCCCCTAGACTATTTGCATTTTAGCCAAATTTAACTGGTTTTATAGTGCTTCAAAATTGAGCTAAAATGAGTAAAATATTTAGGCCAGCTCTGTAAAATATGTTTTTGGAACGAAAATCTTAGCAACTATAGTGTTAAGGGAATTAAACCCAGAGAACGAATTAGATGCGCAAGGCCTTTGTACATTTGTGATTGCATATTGTCTGTAGGAAATACAGGGTGTCACAAAAAAATGTCCCCTCTTTTGAAATCAAGTCTTTTGTTAGTATCTGATTGCCTTAATATCATGATGAACCCAATTGAAAGCAAGACGCTTTATTTAACCGAATAACTATGCTATTTACACCATACTGCGTTGATCACGCATTCAAATTCCAACAAAAGCTTCATTTCAATAGATTGTTGGGACACCCTGTATGTATAACTGCCTTTCACCGTAGTCGTAGAACGTTTTAACCCTAAGGGCCCACGTGCGACATATAACTTTTTTGTACTAAAGAGAACAGTTAGGAAACGCGTTCCTAACAAACACTGAAAGAAATGAATCCAAGCTGTCTGGCTACTTGGACCATTTTGGTGTATACTTTAGCGGTGCTACTGTTTAAGTAATTAGGTTTCGCTAAGCATGGAACATGGAACATGCGGTAAATTAAATTCTATCCAACTAATATATGACCTACTTCACAGCAATACGGAATACAAAAACATACTACGTTGCTATAGAGGGCATTCATGCATGAGCTAATCTATGAAGTGGATGCTTTTCAATTGCAATCTTGTACGCATTCTCTAAGCTATGGATACCATTTATACCCCCATGCAACTAAGGTCTAGAGAAATCTTCGCTAAGTTTCAAAAGGAGAAAAATCTTCGATAAGAAGAAAAATCTTCGCTAAGTTTCAAAAATTCAAGTTTAACCATGTTTAACCTATTACCATCTACATTAACCCTGCCACCCGAGATTTAACGACGGGCGTGAGATTACTTTGAATGAAGCATTAAAATTAAGATTGAAGCATTAAAAAATATGACGCCAAACAAGCACATGCTATTATATTGTCAAGGTGATCAAACGATTGTCAGAATCGTTTCGTTGAATCCAGGGGTTATTCTAAGCTGGATTTGCTGCCACTTATTGGAGTTGTGAAAATATTTGTGGAGTTGGAAATGAAAATTATTGGAATTGACCATACCTTTACGAACTGCCGATTATACTGATACAGTCATTCCATGTCATTTCATTGTATTTTGTATGCTTGTTTGGCATGAATTTTTTGCATCATTTGTCTTATGTCATTTGTCATATCGTTTGTCACAACAGTAAGTGAGAACAGTGAAGTGAATGAACACTGAGCAGACAGTAAGGACATATATTATTAAAATATACTAACAGACGTAGCTGTTTGTAGTTTACTGGAATTGTAAAATTTCCTTAGAATAACCCCTGGTTGAATCTGGGAAAACGGGATCATCTAAAGAGCCCCTGGCTGAAAATACTTAATAGGAGGTGGAAAATCTCGACCTGAAATACAATGCACGCCACTGAGCTATATAATAATTATATTTGGAATTATAATATAGCTCAGTAATGCCACGCACTCATGACTTGTAAATAAATGCATGGATGTTCTTGCCGAACTCATGGACACAAATCAAACAACCGACGTTTTGAGGGATTTCAGCAATCCATACTGTTAATATAAAAATGTTGTGAAAATGTGAAGCTAGACTACACCAGACGATTAATAAACAGTGAAGGGGCCAAAGCTTTGGCCCCTGTACAACACGAAGGGCTTGATACAACCGGCCCCTGTTTATAACACACCTTCCAACTAAACATTTATTTCAACTAAACATTTAGTGATTTGCTCACCTCCGCTTCAGATTGACAAAGCCATTGCCATTTCAAAAGAGTTTGAGGCTTGAACTATTCAAATCGTATCCATGGTTCGAATGTAGGTTTTTTCTATTGCCTTCTTGAACGGTTCTTCGAGCTTCGAAATTAATTGTATCCACGTGGGTCTTGGGCATAGCGAAAAGCCAGTTTCAAATTTGACTCGCAAATTAGCATCACTCCTATTGGTGGAATTTTTCATTAATTGCTATGACTAGATCACAGTGGCATAATCAAAAAGAATTTTTTTCCAAAATTTTCCAAATTCCATCTCGTTTGTTGTGTTTGTTTGCAACTAACATTTCCTGGGGCCTATGTTGTACGTCGCATTTTGGTCGTAAACTTCATTATCATTTCATTAGTTGTTTGAGTTGGGACGTATAGCCTAGGCCTGAGGGGCAAAAAACCTCGCAGAAATCTACATTTAAAGGCTTCTCTAGTCTATACTCGATCAAAAAACTACGACATCCTTTTCTGTTACACAACTAAAATCTTGCTAGTGAACTAAAATCATTGTATTGTAAGAAAGTGTTTAGGAGAAAATAAAACTAAACGTTACATGGGCACTTAATAGCAATGGATAGCGTATTGTTGGCTGTTGGGCACGAAAATGTAAAGTGTGAGGAAATATCACTACATTACCAACCCTATAGGACTGGAGGTAAAATGCTGAAAACCGGAATAACAAGGAATTACACGTATCCACAGATAAGAAAACAAAGCGATACACAAATTGAGCTTATATATAGTGACTCAAATTTTCTAAATTTTTCCAAGGATTCCGTACGAACGCAATATGGAATTCGTTGGTCTAAAGCATTTAAACACAACAACCATTTTTCCATGTAAACCGCTGGTTTCAACGGCTGTGCAAATTATTATTATTTAGTTTCATTATAAATATACTACAATGTAAGACCTATTTTAAAATCAGTTACAGCGAAAGAGATAATATTCACATAAATTGTATGTCGCAACAATTTGCGGCCGATCCATTTGTCGCCGACTCGGTGTCGTAAGTCGGGTTTCCGACGGTCACATGCAGTTGGATGGTACTAAAGCCTGATTCTCATATCACTGGAGAATAAAGTGCTTTGTTATTATTTTGAATAAATTTTCTTCGTCAACGACCACAAACAATACATCGCCGACCATCAGTGACATATTAGAATTCACGGGAAAGTTTAAATCCAATTGCTATAATAAGTCGTCACATTTTAAAGCTATCCTTCGGAATTAAAAGAAAAATGTCTCTGAATGTATAATACAAATTAGAAAAAGATAAAATATTCATTTGCCTACAGCAAAATAAAATTTGGAAATAAAACACTCAATTAAAATCGTAATATAATAAAATGTAATAAGAAAATGCGCCTGGCGCCGTACGGTGTGACCATATAGAGCGTCCTAAGCAGGTTCCGTTGGGTTTAACCTAGAAATGTAATATCTTCATTAAAATCGGTCATGAGAAGTACTAAAATCCTCAAAATAAGAGGAAAATAATCTCAGGATATATATACGACCACCAAACTGACCAAAGATGACGAAGCTATAGTCGCCTAATTTATATCAATAAATGTCCATGGATGATGATTATATATACCGTAAGAACAATCGATTTCGCAAGGGAATTGGTCGAACAAGAAAGGCCGACAAACACCGGACGCGATTTGCCAACGCGACGCGAAAATCACGAATTTTTCAGTTTTGAAAATTTGCTAATTTTGACAATGCTGTGATATTCTTGGTAATTACTGAATGATAGTACATTTTGACTGGTCTGGTACCTATACCTCTCAAAAATTTCGTTGGGAATTGAATTTTTTTGCTTCTGAAAAAGAAAAATTCGCGTCGCGTTAGCGAATCGCGTCCAGTGTGTTTGGGCCTGAAAAGAATATTTATGACTCTGTTTGCACTTTAATTATGTCTAATTGTCTTCGATTAAATACTGGTGCAACTTACTCAGGTGGTTGAGGTTTGTTTAGAATATACCGATTTACTTCAAATACGACTTGCCGTACCAAAAGCTGAAATCAGAAAACGTGTTTAACATTTCCATGCATCAGACTGAGAACTTCCTAGGAATGTTCCTTGGGGTGGTAGGTGCCTAGGTGGTAGAAATTACAGGGAAACTGTAAAAGTACCTCTATTGAAACGAAGCTTTTGTTGGAATTTGAATGCATGATCAACGCAGTACTTAGTGGGTAAATAGCATAGTTATTAGGTTGAAGCATACAAATAAAGCGTCTTAATTGCTTTCAATTGGAGGGAATGACATTTGCAACCTTTTATAAAACTCTGGTTAGAAAGGATTGAACCCTGTTTCTTGCATGAATATTAACTTGTAACTCAAATCTTCCTCCTGGGTATAACAGAGTGTTAGCGCAAAACTTACCAGTGCAGCTAACACATTCGCCGCTATCAGCATATAAAAGACATCATTCCAACTCTAAGAGTAAAAGACGAAAATACATGCGGCTTAACCTGATCAGGCTTTCATTATATGCAGTTTTCACCTGGCCTAGCCGGGATAACTCGCTCATAAAGACATAAACAGGCCCTAGGATTACTCACACAATACTGTTTTCATTTAAAAACGTGTGTGAGAGGGGGAGAGATGGGTGAGGGGGGATGGGTGAGGGGGGGTGTTTGAATACAAATAGAGTGAGGCTGGATGAATCAATCATAGTGATCATCGGATTGAGTTTGTTGTTCACTCTGTGTTGGTTTTTACATGCTTGATGGCATATAACAGAAGTGCAATTTCGTTTCATTTGTCTACTCTTTGGGCACTTTAACTTTGAAATATTCCAGGGTAATAATTCGATGCTATAAGCGTACAACCAACCAATACTTACTCTTTTTGAGATCAGGGAGGTCAAGAGAGGCCCAAGAGCAGCACCTAGAACACAAGAAAATCATGAGTATACAGTATAACACGCGGTACTTTTTGTTGCACTGTGGACGTACGCTGACCGCGTTAGGGAGAGATTGTGACAAAATAATTGTGGCATACTGCACCTATTGATCCGGTGCCATCAATGATTGCAGTTACAGTCGCCATGGCTTTAGTGTCACCTCGAAGAGCCTTTTGAGTTCCCTGGAGAAAAAACAGAATGGTACTGTAAACTGCATGTATTATAATATATGTAAAATTCGAAAAATAGCGAATTCAATGCAAATATAGCTATTTGGAATGGCTGACACGCATGCGAGTCAATTACTTGATAGAATGTTCTCTATTTGCCACTGTACTGAACGCCAATGCACGCTCCGAATACAGTATGTATATTCAACTATCTTTTGGTCATATCCCTCTCTAAAAGACTCTTGTATATCACTTGGTCTTGTTGTGTTGTTTTAATCAAGCCCCAGAGCATTTCTACATATATGTATCTCAACTAAGCGATTTTAGCTTACCAAGTTTGCCGACACAGCTGTTGTTATCAAGCCATAAGGACCATTCACAAATATACCAGAAAAAATCATGAGAACTAAAACACGCAAAAAAGATGAACGCATTTTGAGATGTATGGAATAGTGAAGACAGACGACCTATTTCGCACAAAATAGTAAAATATTTCATGCTTGAACCATGACTTACTTATATTTGTTCCTAAATTTTTATTGCCAACAAATCGGTACATATACAGCTGAAAAAGAAGGGACAGTGTTGAACGAGTACAATGTTGTTCACTGTTATTTTTTTCATCATTTTTCTTTCCTATGCCATAGTTGCCAACTGTGTTGACAGCGTCTGCTCCTTTTTTCTATATACGAGTTTCAGCAAATGTGCAATGGACCATTCGGGCCCCCTCCAAACTATCGCTGTTCGAGTTTGGCAAATGAATGAGTATCACACGTCGAAAAGCCTACCATTTTTAGAGATTGTGGTAAGGCTTCTTCGCGGGTAATACTAATTTATAGAAATTTTGGCAACTTGGCAGAGCTATATTTTCCACATTTTTCAATTTAAAGGGGGAATGGTCCAATTGAAAAGGCATTCAAACTTTTATTATATGATTGATTTCTAAACGTCCTCTTTTTTTTCATACACCTTGTAGGAGAGACACTTACTGAAGGAGTCGCCAAAACTAAGAAGCCGACACATGTGATTCCACTGCATTGAGTTTGATCAGATATAACACCAGCTGCTATTCCACCTATAGGGAAGAGTTGAAATTTAAAATATTTGTGGCAAGGGGGTATGCATCACAGCATCCATCCAACCTCGCACACGGGGTTTCTTTAGGTAGGAGAAGGAGGTTGCATCTTTTGGGGATGCAACACGTATATACCTGTATATTAACCTTAAGGTCTGCATGTTCACACGATCTAATTTGGTCGGACCCAACTCACTTCTGATGGATGTCTTATAGTCTGTTGTCTTGTAATGTATATGAGCAGCAAATCCACTGAAGCCAATGCACTATTGCTTCATCAACAACCGACTATATTTCATACGTCAGAAGTGAATTGGATCCAACAAAATTGGATCGTGTGAACAGACCTTTAGAATACAAATTTGAACATTATAACGTTTCGAAATTATTGTGTATGTATACTCACCAATTATGCCTCCGACATCAAAAAATGTTGACAGATCGCCGGCCTTTCTCGAGTCGTACCTCTTCCCGCCAATATCTAGAAGTAAAACAACATCCTAAGATGGTGTATTGTCCGTGATGAAGTAAATCAACATGCACGAAGTGCCTAAATCTTAAAATCATATTGCTTCCTATACTTTTTCCTTTTGACTAACCTGTATGATTGATGTAAAAGGGAAGCCAGTACAGGAAGGTATAACTGACAAGTTTAGCGAAAAACAAACTTAAGGAATATTCCAAAACGCCCTATAGGGTGAAACGAACAAAGCAAAACAAAATGATATTGCTATACTTGAAAGTTTTATCGCTCATGGCCCGGGAAATCTTGGAAAGAAACAAAACTTCAGAGGAAACATAATGTTTCATCAGAGTTTGGTAACACAAGGGGTAAAATTACAGCTTGGTTAATGCATTGACCATGTAATAAATATTGGCCTTACAGAACATTTAATTGAAAACATTGTTTCTCCCAGATTGGCATTTAGGTTTCAAAGATCTAAATACTTAAAAGACTATACATGCACGCACACGTGAATTCTAAGTAAAAGATCCATAATTTACGGTAAATTTCAATGGTAAATGAAATACATACTGGAAGAAAAAAGGCACCAAAAAATGAGACAGCTTTAGAGTCTGCTCCATGTTGCCCTCTCTTTCTGATTTTAGGCCCGCCAGTCTGAACAACAAAACAGCAAATGTTGTCTTTATACAGTGAATAAGCTTTACAATATACGTCGAGGTTGACAAGTATATGGCTTGGTTGGCTTAAATAAAATGTAGGTTTTTAATTCGCCTCGACTGTTGGGCGGATTAACGTGGGGCGGAATCTTGGGGCGGATTAACGCCCTCATAATATGCTAAATACAAAAATTTTACATTTGCCAGAGAAGAGGGACATGTCAAAAGCATGGTGCTTGAATTGTAAATTAAAATACTGCTACCATATTTGTGTAAATATAAATATTGGTAGTAAATAAATATTGGTAGTAAAATTAAATAATTTGGGGATATTAACAAATTTTATTGTCATGTCATTGTCAACAGTTTTGGGCAACCTCGTACCTAGGGTCTTTTGCATCGCAACAGGGTGCTTAGGCATTCAAACTCTAACTATTGTATTGTTATGGGTGATTTCAATAGTTTAGGGGTTTGGGGGACACCCTGCACATTGTCCAATCAACAATTCATTTCAGCTTAAATGTCTCGGTAATTGACATGCGAAGGTCAGCTCAAAATTCTTTACAGAGCCGAGTACTTTTGCACTTTTCGATCAGCCGTATTCGTCCCCCCCCCCCCTTATCTACCTTATAGTAAACTGGGATAAATGAATCGATAAACAATACGGCAAATCATAAAAAACAATTTCGACACAGCCTCGTACGCAATCGCGTAATATGAATAGAAATATGTAACGTTGCATTCAGCTATTATATAATTTATGTAGAGGTCAGCTGAGAAAACACATAGTACGGGGGCTGAGTGGCTTGTGGTGATTCATGCATGAATATCTCAAAGACAGATAGTATATGACGTATTCTACTGTAATTTGGATCGAATAGTTCATCTTGCATATCACGATACGGTAGGTATGTGGTGGTATGATAACTTGTCTGAATCAAGCCCTGCAGTTATTGGTTAATAAAATTGTATAATTAGTGATCATCTTTTAAATTAGTAATCAATCGTTAATTAATATTAATTTAGTGATGAATATATCTTCATTGATTTTCATTTTATACATACGCCTAATGCAGCAGTTTCCGGTAATTGATTGGTTAATTATCTTTAAATTTTATGAAAGATTGCTGTATCTTTCACAGTTCAAAGTGCACATAAGCATACGCGTGCAAAAAAGATTTATTTTCGTGTTTCTTACATGCTTTTTACAACAACGATGGATTACAACCGAAACGCAACTCCGGTATATTTTTGCTTGATCATAAATTGCAAGAATATACTAGGAATAGGATGCATGGTATACTCACTCTGTTGCTATCTTGTGTAGTATAGTTATTAAGAAGACTCGTCCTGTCGCAATCCTTGAAAACAGGACAAAGGCGGTTTAACATTCGTAAGTGTAATATTCGCGAATAAAGATGCAACTGTCATTATGCACGATAATACGTAGGTACAAGTTAGTACTGCATAGTGCATGTATCAATTGACTTACTGATTCCTCCCCATTTAATGTGCCCGACATAGACCTGGGTTTTACCTTGAAAAATATGAAAAAGATATGATGAGCGTAATAGCCACAACCTTTGAGCACTGTAAAGCAGTTACAATATGTACAGTACTTGCATACAAAGATCAGCAAAATTTGAAATGTATAACTCAATTTGCCGTCTGGTCTATAGCTGGCCGTCCACAACCGATCAATTATTCAGCTTGAAGATTCATATCAGGATTAACCTGTCTTATTGACATGCATGCAGACTGTATGGAATATGGCATAAGGAATCCTTGAAAAACGAGGTGTACTTTCATGCGCAGTTTAACATGTCCAGAACTTTGTAGCAAAATATAATTTGACATTGTATTCAAAGGTATAGTTCAAAAGTAGTGACGAGGGATGCCTTTTCGATTAAGTTAAGCTCTAAAATAAGATTACTGTCATTCATTTCAAAGATCTTGAAAAGAAAGTTGATTAAAACACACTTACATGATGTTGAGGAGGATTACAATCAACGTGGGAAGGATCTAAATATAAAAAATATGAAATGACAGACTGCCGATATCCAGAATTAACCTTCTCAAACGCAACCTTCTCCCTTCTTCCTAAAACTGCACTTAAATGTGTATAATACTTGCTTCACATTGTGTCATTGAAAACGCAAACAAAATATCCAGCTGGTCTTAGTGCATTAAAAACCTATATATGATCACTTACCAACAACTAAAAAGAGATATATTAACAGTCCAGCTGCAATAATCATAAGACCAGGTACAATAAAAGACCACCCCCTGAAAGTAGAATCGATTTATTAGATTTTAGCTGTCTTGTACCTGTATGCATGGGTAAAAATGCTTGTGCATGGTCAAGACAGGATTGAACAATTTGAGAACTGTAACTGACTGAGAATGCAATTCCAGCGCACACATACAGCACATTGTGTGGATATAATAGAGGAAGTAACACAAGAAAAATTAAATAGAGGGAGTAACATAGGAAAGAAGATCTCTAAGAATTATACTTCCTTTTAATAGGGGACTATCAACAGGGAGCGAGAGGTGATAAATAATATTATTATGGTTTCTACTTTCTACAGTTTACTCCAAAAGAGACATTCCATAGGTACTACTCCATTCTCTTGGATAGTAATACCACTCTCATATGGTGAGCAAGACAGACATAATTATGGTACGGTATGATTGATCTTACCACTCATCGTCAGACCAAACAGCTGCAACAGCTGACCCAGCAATATTTCCAACCGATGTATGTGAATTCCAGATTCCCATTATGAGACCTCGCCTGAGAAGTGAGTAACAGAATATGAAAACATTTCTCATTCTTTTGGGCAAATTGCTCAATATTTAGATATTTGCAACCAGAGGATGTTATAAACTGTACAAAAGACTGGTCAATAGAGAAAATTTGCTAATTCAGCAGGAAAACTGTAGATTACATTTGATCAGTTAAAATGCTAGTGCTAAATTACAATCGATCAGCTTTGATTGTCTTGTGATACTTTTGTACAGTGGTGAGCTGATTATTATCAAGCTCTCTTATCCACATCGGCTCCTCTCTGAAAAATTTCCAACGCTATTTCAAGCCTTTTATTTTCATGTAGAAAGAGAATAATGTTGAGAAAGCAGTAACTAACAAAAAATACTTACTGTCCTTTACCAAACCAATTTCCAATAGCTTCAACAACTGCTGGCCATCCTGATGACTAAAAAAAATTCATTAGTGAGAAATTCACAATTGGCAATGGTCATTGTGCATGAAAGACTCAATGAAACACTTACCTGAGCCACACCTGCTAATAACTAAAAATATAAAGACTTCCAGTTACTAAATGTGGTTTTTACTGAATTACGATAGACACAGCTTAACTCGATTGAACTATCAGACTATGAAAATGTATAAAATGCATTGAACTGTGATTTTTTCCAAAATTTATATGTCAAGAGAAGCCTGCCTTCTGTTGCTTCCTGCCTTCCTAAATTAATGTTTTGGGAATAGAATTCTTAAGCAAACACAAAATAAGTGGTGAAGCATTTCTCATATTATTTTGTACATACTACAAGATTGTTGAACAAAAAGAACTCACCTGCATAATTATAAAGAATGCTAAGGAATGGATATTGAAGAAATAACCCAAACCGAAGAGAATACTAAAAATACCACTAAAGAACATTCCACCAGTCAAGAAATATCTGATGTCCATATGCTCAGCAATGTAACCACTGTAATAAAAATATTCTATATTAATTTTGTGTAATTTGGAAAGACTGAATTTCCACAGCCTTAACAGCTGTCATTGGCCTAAAATGAGGTGGAAGTCCTAAGAGGTAGAAGAAGTTGCAATAGCCAGTGCAATATTTATATGTTATACGTCTGCTTATGATTGCTACATGTAAAGAAAACCAAACACAAATAGTTCAACATAAAATTTAAATATATAGATTGTTTTAGCAGGTCTCAACATTACCTGAAAAACATTCCTATTGCATATGCTATAAGAAAGGAAGCATCAAGCCAACCCAAAAGAGTGTTTGAATCGTCACCATCTACAGGCAAAATATGAATCAATAGAAAATTTTAAGGAATATAAAAAGAAGCATTACACCAAAACTCAATAAAATCCTTAGGGAGAAGTGTGGTAAGATGATTATACAATGGAGTTCACAAAGGCAAAAAGGCATGCATAACTGTCAACTGAATTTCTTCATAATGGCTGAATGGAAATGGTTACAAGTACATATTTCCCACAATTTACATTGTTATTTAACTTAATGAAAAATAATCTACAGTAGAAGTGAAATGTCATAAACATACTGATAAATATAGCTCAACAAACTCACCAAATGGTGCCCAAGCATGACAGGTACCATTTCCAGTACAATTGGCATTCAAAGTATCCTAAAACAAACCACCACATCACTCATTGAAATAAAAAACACTCAAAACTGAAATAAGTAACAGTAACATTAGCTATTTAGTGAGAGCTAAATTTAATTTAGTGAGCCATTTAGTGACAGCTGAATATTATATACCTATACATGTCGGACATATATACTGCCACATTTAACAATTAGTCACCAAAGGCGAGGTGATTACAAACCTATATTCACTTCGCGGAATCACCGAGCCCGAGGCGGCTACTTGTTTTTGTATAAATTTCAAGGTGCTTACAAATAAGAATCAACACAATTTCATAAAAAATTATAATTACTTGAAATGTCACTGCCCAGTGACTATCACATCAGAGACAGTGAATGTTGATAAATCAGAATGCTGGAAAATCAATAGTCACTTCGAAATTTATAGGACAAACGTTGATAGCAGTTGTCACACTGTATTTTATTGTATAAATATTGTGTAGAAACTGAAGTTTTTATCCTGTATAAACATTTAGAAATAATAATAATAATACTCAAACCACATATAAGTTTTTCAGTTTTCCAAACCCAGAGAGTATTTACAACTATAATGTAAACATTTAAGGAACCATTGACAAATAGGCCTGCTGACATTTCCAGCTTTTTTAAACAGAATACGAAGGTGGCGAAATTCTGCATCTTGTTCTACTTGTTTGTGATGACCAAGATTAGGGTGATATGCTATAGGGGGAAGGGGTTCAGAATATTGCAGCCATGTCTATTAATTTTAGACAAAACTTTTTTATCAACATTCCCCCCTAAAGTAAACTATTTTAATATGGGTCTTTACAAGGATTTTGAGAATCCAGATTTAAAAAAAAACTCTGACCTTGACAACTGAGATTGGTTTTCTGGACAGATGATATGATGCATAAGCAATAAAAGTTAACACAAAAATATGAGCACGATACCTGTAAAGTGAGAGAATAAAAATTATTAAAGATCAAAGAAATATATTACAAACCAATAACATGAAATTGTTATTTGCAATTATTATTATCCAACATTTTACGGGTGTAAAATTGATACAAAATGAAAATAATTCTAAATTGCTACGTACACAATACATTATACAATATTTAAAATTTGCACGGAATATTCTAGTTTAAAGCATGCTAAAGGCACCTCTGAAATCAATATCTCTATCGTATTTTAAAAGATTGATAGCTATCTTGGCTTTAGAACAGTCAATTTTCATATTTTCTTACAACTTATCTCGATCCTTTTGTATCCATATTAGAAACTTTATGCCCCATGGTATTCTGTTCTTCTTTAAACGAAGTCGCTGTCCAGGGATCTCAATGCTTTCGCCTTCCGTGCTCATTCTCAGAATTTTAAAACTTGTAGATGAATTCCTCGTAGATTTCTAGTTTTTCTAATGTAGCATGTACTTGGATGTATATTTTCACCATATGTTTGACTAATTTTGTCGGTTCACAAAACTACCGTACTCGCCAAATTTATTAAATTTGCCTGTTCATATAAACATTGTTTGCCATTATTTTTAGTCAAGAAAAATATGCGAAATAAAAAAAGCGAGTTTTTACTTTTTAACCTGGTGAAAAATATATGTTAAGACTTATTCTGGCTTGTTTATAAGTCTCTCCACTGGTCTCTCTTACACGTCATTCACGTGGAGAACTCGTGATGACTCCAAATATCTTTCTAACATGAAGTTCTGTCAGCCTCGTACCCAGGCGCTTTTGCATTCAGTTATTGTATAGAGGTCAGCTAAAAAAACGCGAGCGCGCGGGGATCCTTGGGACATTCTGTTCTTCCCTTAATTAATTAGCTTTATTCAGTTTCTCGCTCTTCGCAAGCCGAAGGTTTTGCGAAGTTGTTTGGCTCTGCCAAAACGTTAACGAGGTATTTTTCTCTTATTTTGGGAGTAAAAATGAAAAATGAAAAATCTAAAAAAAATAATTTAATTTTTTTTTAAATCACCTGTTTTACAGGTCCCAACTCCCAATGATAGAGATTCAATCCGGAGATTGACGTTGGAGAAATCCCAATAATTTCGTCTCATTTCGTTTCATTTCCAGGGCAAACAAAACTTCACTAGGAGTACAGCAGAGAAAGTAAATGCAGGATAAATAAAAACGGTCTTTCAGTTAATATGCATGGAAATAAGCAAGCCTCTCGCTGGATATATTTCACAAGATATATTTCACAACTATTCACACTATTATTGGCTGCTATAACGCTGTAAAAGGCCCGCTCGATTTAACGGACCGAAAGCCCTGCATATAAATAATAAATACATGTGGCCACAAATTGATGATCAAGTTATAGCTGTATTGTTATAACGATTAGCTGTGCCAAAAAGGAGTAGACGATGACAAATTTGTGGTAGGCTACTCTAGTGGTAGTAATATAGGCTAATTTAAATTATCATATGTAACGCCCTTCACGCTTTCTTGCGAAAATTGTAGTTTTCTAGCTGCGCCTGCGGATTTTCGCTAGATGGCGAAGATGGAGAGTTAATTAGCATGACGCAATAATATCACACGTCAAAGAGCTGTTTCTGATACCACAGGGTCAACAATATCATGATTCAAAGCCAACTTGAACTCAAGAAAGCAATGATAATACTTGATCAGGAGTCCGTACTACGATCGTCTTAGGATCTGCATATTCATTAAACGGATTCAACACAGCGTCGTATATTTTCCTGTACGCCACACACACCAAATCACTAGAACGTTTGTTCACTGTATCCCTAAAGTGGACATGCAGGGAAGAATAAACAGAGAATACTGAAAAAATACATAGAATAGAGAAATATATAGAAATGAATGAGCAATTTAGCTTGTGACACGAAAAAACTTTCAACATCAACATCAACACACAACGCAACAATGTTTCGAAAAAGTTTTAGGCCTCAAATATGGTATCTATATATAGCAGATTTTTAAAACAGAAATTGTTTCGGAAACAAGTTGAAAGTGTTTTTAATCTGTTTTAACTTTTTTTAATCAACACAACTTCTTGTTCAAATTTTTGTTTATTGTAGCGTTGCAAGTTGTTGAAAATTATTAGTGTATACAACATCGCCTTTAGAATAACATAGCCTTATGTAAAGAACAAATGAATCAAGTATAAGGTGTGAGCAAATCATATAAAACATGTAAAATGGAGTATTTGACGGTAGCAAAGAAAACAATATATAAAGATGTCATACCTTAACCGTGTGCTTCTAAGAAGATCAACTTGAGGTAAAACTAAACTGTCTGGTGACGAAAGGTATTTGTCAAATTTACTCTACAAGAAGAACAGATAAATCTTGGCTAGTATATTTTCGCTGAACTGAATAAAAATTGCTCAAGTGCCCTTTGTCCCTGCAGAATAGATTTCTTCTAAATAGAAGATATATATAGAAGGCGTGCGATGAAAAATTATTCGCAGAACGAGGGGGCGAGGGTCGAGATGAAGTGGAGCGTCAAGTCCATGAAGTACCGCCAGTGGAATCATGCAATCAACTCACCATATAGTCTTTAATACTCTGTACATCCATTCCGTTCACTGTTGACAATGGGACCTAGGAGGAATACTGGCTGTAAATACACGATACATTTTTGCTTCAGCATAATAAAAAAATTCATTATATCAGAACAAATGTTCCACAACACGCCATCTTTGTACATCAATAAAGGAGTAGGTACATTGGAGGAAGTTGAATTTCACTGATTCCACCTCAAACATAATCACCGGTATCAAATTGGCGGTGACAACGTTTCAGATGGAAATCGACAAAATCGGTGTTGATTTCCGCACTTGATTCTTTTAACGTGACGCCCACAGGATTACGTAGTTTTATAGCAAACGCCTTTTGGGCCTTTCTGTACTCGATTGCCACTTTGTGTGAAGACTGATATATTGTATACATTTCTCATACTAAGATGTTAATATGGAATTAAGGATAACTGTCGGGGATGCATGGTGGACACAATTTCCTTCAGCAATCAACATTTGACTGAAGGGTATTGAGATCAAGTAAAGAATAGCACATGATCTTTGAAAGAAACATTCGTTTCTTCTTTGAACAATATATTAAACTGTCCAAATCTGTTCCTAACTTACTAACTTTCATTAGTATACACCCGACTATTGTCTATTACAAATCCTACATTCTGATTGGCTACTCAACCATTGTCTATTCGTGATGGTGAACGTTTGGGAAAAATTCGCTCGCGCGACCGTATAAAATTGAATTATTTAAATTATTTTTCGGTGTAATTGCAGTGTATCGATTATTTTCTCGAAATTAATATATCTAGGTACAGAGTGTATACTAAAACAATTAGACAACTCGCCTTCGTTGTCTAATTTTTAATTAGACCATGCATAGAGTAAATTCAAGACGAGGTTTCCGTTTTCATAGCGTAGAGAAAACAGCCTGGGTACGAGGTTGAAAAAACAGCTGCCAATCCTATCGCCAAACCTTAACGCTGTTTAATTCGTGTATTATTTACAAAGCTAATATGGCGTACACACTCTCATGATGTATTAAACAACGACTTGAATTGTTAATGAGGAAAACCATGTATTATCTTTCACAAACCTTTTGAGCTGGTTGATCTTGAATCATATTATAAATACTTCCAATTCCAGACCTTTCCAGAATAAACGATGCTTGTTCACTGACCAAAGTATCTTGGTGTGCCTCAGTCTATAAATCGATTTAGGCGGATGACGAGCATGTTCATGATTCATGAAAGACGATCATAAATGTGATCAATATATACCTGAGCCGCGAGCATTTCAATATGTTTATCCGTAAATTCATAGACGGCTAAGGTTGTTTGCATTTGATAAATACAGTTGACCATATAAGCCGCCATATCACAGGTACTTAAATGACTAGCGGACATTGTACACATCTGCAACAATGGATCAATGAGACAAGAGATAACCTGAACATAACAAAAAAAGAAAACGCTAAGGACAGAACGTTGATTTCTTTTCGCCTACAACGCAGGTTTAATGTTCTTATTAAGAAATTTTCCGTGTTTCTATACAGTTATAGAAACACGCGTGGGAGTTTGGGAGAACGAGAAATAATCAGTGGGAAAACGAGCCCGTATTATAAAGTACTATCCGAGATCATCAACAAGGAAGACAGCGTGAACGTCTAGGCTTGTCCTATAACTGGTCCAGACCAGCTAGGTCTAGGGGCCAGGTCTGGGCCTGAAGTGTAAATGCAGCTTTACTGACACCTGCATGGTATTGTTTACGGTTGTGTAATAATAGTGGTGTTTAAGTACGTGGAACAGTAGAAAACTGCTAATAACATTTCGGAATCATGACGACGGGATTTGATTGCTGAAATTATTGCTACCATATGTATGTTGGGGCAGCAGAACTGATTTGTTGCATGCGTGTTTGTAGCTAACTATTGATAAATGCTGCCATGCCACTACCACGTATATCTTTCACGTTTTCAGGCGTGCATACCTTGGAGTAATCTCCTTGCCGAGCATCAAGTGGTACAACAGATGCATCATGGGAGGAAAGTACTTCGCGTAATAAAGACAATGTCTCATTCAGCGAAGCAGTAGCCCCAAGATCTGATGGTGGAATTTCAACCTGTGCTCAAAAAAAAGCGAAAAACAACGTTAGCATCAACAAAAGCGTATAAAGGGGTTACAAAGTAGGCTACTGGGACCAATTGCACTGACAAAATAACGTCTTGTCACAATGGAGCTTGGAATGCCGAACTGGCAGGTGCAGAGAATTCAGAATTGTCCGTCGTGCATGACCTCCCTATACATATTTAAGGTGTAATTATACCTTATCCAAAACTTTGCTAGCATGAAGACTGAGGCTATTAAAGAACATCTTCATGGCCAGTGTATGTAACTCTTCGATTGTAAAAATGAACGAGGACTCTTCACCAACAATAGAACTACAAGTTAAAGACGAACCTTATAGCTATTTGCAGTATTAATTTTTTTGAATAATAATAAACAAGATGCAAAAGGTAGCTTCCTGGGTACTTATTCTTAATGGTTATAAACTGGGGACAAATATCCATACCGTATATCAAATAATAACTTTGCACTTCACGACAAGGAGGAATTTCGTTTGAAACTAATATATAGAATATAAGTAACCGCACCTGATCGTGGACCTGTAAAACTTCAGCACACTTGCCAGTTTAAAAAGTACAACTGAACCCTGTTCCGAGACAACGACTTGTTCCACCCGTACCTAATACATAACGAATTGTGTGATGATGCAATTGGGAATTACGCAAGGTTGATATTTGACAAGCTATAACACAATACCTTGAATGGTCGACAGACACCTTCAGATATATGAGCCAGAAGTTCGGAGGACAATTCATCAGTCACTGTGAAAACACCATATTGATTAAAAAGACAATGAATGAAACCCAGAGATGGGTGTCTATATTTCGCTCAAAAGAAAAAAATATTTTTTACAGAGCTAGATTTATACGTAGTATTCCCACCTGAGGATTGTACATGCTTTAATAGGGAATGCATGGATTCTTTCTCTGACGCAACTGCTTGATGAAGCCACGCCAGCATATCTCCTAGATATCTGAAAGTTGAGATGTTTGTCATGATTATTTCTAAGCTGGGGAAACAAAGGGTGGCATTACTGGCATATTTTAAATTCATATGAATGTGCACAAGTCTTGCAGTATACCATTGGAAAAATTCGTCTTCATCGGTGGGGGTGCGCCCTATAAAATGCTCACCCCACCCCTCCCACAATCTCATAAAGGTTAAAAGCATAGATGAAACGTAAGGGTGGAACGCAGTACAATAGTTTCTTGTCAAAAATTAGTCGTTAACCTGATAGGATCATGTGCACTTAATTCGATCGGTCTTGGAGTGCCACCTGGACCTATAATAATATGAACACAAAAATACAGCTAAATTATCACTCATCTGATTTTTTAAATATAATTTTGGACTCGATTGAGGTACATACAGCGTGATACCAACTCCCGTAATCCAAATATGAACTTCTTTGTAATGGATCTGTTACACGCTATTGTTGTTGGAACACGCAAACGATTTATTTCTTACCTCCTCGAGTAAGTGCATCAATGAAAGATCTGACGATTGCTGTTCTTCTTGCTGCGGCATATTCGTCAACAGAGTATCTAGTCAAAGATACATAGAGTCAGTGCTACCACATGTTGATACCACCAGCCGCTCTCATGAGAATTGCATTGAACAGCAAAGTTAATCAAGTTGAAACGTTTCTTCTGTGCCCCGCAGATTTTGCGGGTATAGCATTAAACAAACACTCCGGCAATGACAACGTTTCTCACTTGAGTAAAACAGGTCTGTCTTGGATCACTGCCATGGCATTTTGTAGATTTGGCATAATCTCCGGTATATCTCCAGTCAAACCTCGGCACTCAGCTATAAATGAAATATTATATGACAACCATCACAACGATGATATAACATACATACAGGCATTCTGATATACGTCCCTGTGTCGTAAGAAAGACCATTGATATATGACCACAATCAGTTTATCAAATTGTGTGAATTCAAAGTACATACATGTGCAAAACAACAGCGAATATCTATCTACTGCAGTCATTAATCAGTGATTATAAAGCTGACAGCTTTTGTTCACTCAATTACGAATAGACCCTCATTCTCTCATACAGGTCAGAACACAACTTTCACGGCTAACAGTTGATCGGTCACTTCAACATTTGGTTTACTATTGATCAAAAAAATGCACGGCATATTTACCCTGCGTCCATCTGTATAATCTTTCATAAGCAGACTCCATGAACAATGCCATCGACTCCATTATCTCCAAACTAAAACAGTATTAACCTTGGTTAAACTTGATTGTGCTGCAATACCAGGTCGGAGTATCAATCAATGAGGCGTGATACAACTGGAGCGATAACTGGTGAAAAAGTGATCGAACTGGTGAAAAACATTGCCTACGCATATTTGCCTGAAACCGCGCAAACTAGTTTTTCCGAATTTTGACATACACGACCCCAAAGTCTTACATTTGACTGGAGCCGTTGGACTAAGCCCCCGTAGCTAAGACTTAGAAAAAAAATTCTAAAAAAATTCAAAAACAACTGTAATTATAGCAAAAACGAGGAAATCATAGAGTACAGTAACTTCCTTTTACAGTACTTTAGCTCGAGACTGACATAATACACTAAATAGGGTTCTCAATACCTCTAGCTTCACGTTCAGTTATTTTTTCCAGTTATATGTACATGTATGTACTACAACTAAAAACGAACGAGTTTGATCGTTTAAAATTTAACACATAACAATTTGTTCATACAGTAGGAGAAAAACAACTCACCCAGCTGTTTGCTGTTTAGTTCTCAATAACAACTTGCAATCACTGTGAATTACTTTTACCCTTGCTAATGCCAAAAAGAAATCCTAAAAGTAGTTATATTTCTAAATTATTTTGGTGAAAATTTTTTTTGAAGATTTTTCTAAATTATTCCATGAGTTGTCAACATATTTTGAAAGCCCTCATACTACGACCCATGTCATTTGCTTTTAATACCTCGGTTATTGGCTCATTGCGAGAATTTTTCAATGCTTCAACCTCATATGGTTTCAACTGGAAGCGGTCAAGGAATGCATCTGCCACCTTCTGCTTCAACTGCACCTTTTGGCTTGATAAAAGATAAATGTAGTAAAGTACTCAGAGAAATAATTGATTGCTACTACAGATCCTTCTTAGCTGGATAATTGAGATAAACACCAAAATAAAAACAATATCAGCAGTAGGTATACATGTTAGTCATCTGGAGCCTAGGGTGCCCACAACGCTTCAAAACCAAATTGGACTTGGTGCCCAAAAACAGCTCAGTGCCCAGCATGTTTTACAACCTTATTAGTGCCACTAAATTCAGTTCCCAACCCAAAGATATACCTGTATAATACAGCAACTTACCTTTCTGCCTGGAGTTTGGTGGTTTTGTTTATTAGATCTGATGTTTGTTCACGAGCCATCTAATAATGTTAATAATACAATTTTTGAAGGTGCTTAAACTTCAAAATCTTAGGTTATATGATACAGTGCATGTCGTTTGCAAATGTCCCAATTTTTTGTCGGATTTATAGTTTTAGTTGAATCATATTTTTCATGATTATAAACCCATAATCAAATAATAAACATAAATTGCAGTTAATCTTGCTATACAGTAGTAATAACATTTGAAAATATTTTAATGGTTCTTATTGAGACATGTAGGAACTTTACTTTTAATCTAGTGGTCATCTCTTCACAGCATTTGCTCATAGACTCAATATCACCTTGCACATGATCAAGTTGCTACAAAAAAACATAAATGACTCTTAACAGGCCCAGCAACAGTGGGACCATACATGCAAATTTTCTCAAATCTAGTTTGATTGCCTCCTCCTGGTATAAATTTGGTAATTAATAAAATCAGGTGGCAGGGGCTGTCTATCTGCATCCAACCAAACCTGGTAATAAAAATTACCAGATCTGGTAACACCCAGTGTGGAAAGTATGTATAGTGCAACTGTTATTCCGGCGCACAATTCCAGTCAGGAGTCACACTGCCAGTGGCGTAGCTAGCATTGATAATTTGGGGGGCCCATATTCATATAGTCATGATAACAGACTGCAAAGACAATCGATTTCAAAAGAAATTAATCCTGCATAACATGAATATATGAATATGGACCTCTCTAATTATCGTTCTGGCTATGCCAATGCGCACTGCATAGCAATATATATATTATATAAACACAGTATGCATTTCAGCATAAATTTTGAATAAAATGTGTTGGAGTACTGAGGAATGAGGATAGAAGATATCTATCAAGTTGACCATATATATTAATACTTACCTCTTTCACTTCTCTAAAAGCACTTTCAAATTGTTCATTGACATAAAGACTTCTCTTTTCTATATCACCACGAAGATTCCTACGCTCTCTTAGACTATTTTCAGTAAAGAATGTCGACAGAGCTTTCAACGCATCAACGAGATCCTATTAAATATCCCCATTGAGATTTTAAGTTAGAATAAACGCAATATACTATTAAAAAACGCAATAACTGTTGTCTAATACACAAATCATACTTTATCGTTATCAAGACGCATTTCTAGAATTTTATTCAGTTTTCTTGAAAGAGGATTGCTCTGCTGACTTGTAATTTCGTCCGCCATTTTTTTTGGCAGTGATCTCTAATAAAGTTTTGAAACTGGAGCAAGATATCTCACAGATATCTCATTCATGTCTTGTATCAGTGACCGAGAGGACTTTACACCAATTTTGCACATATGTCTCTCCGCACGTTGTTTCAAACATTTGCTCACCTAAAACGTATTGTTCCGGGATATCATAATAATCTTTCTTGATGCATTTGATCATTTTATTTAGTTTATGGAACAACCATATCTTACTCATCCCTACAAACCGTTTGTGACCTAACGTTTAGCACAAATATTATTGTTCGGATATGTTATGAATTTAATCATTTTGTACATACCGCGCGAGATTTACGCTTACGAAGTTGAACTGTTCAACGCGAAGACAAAAGCACATTTAACAGCCTTAACAAAATTCACCTATGCCATAGATTCAATTTTTCCTTTGTGTTTTATACTTGGAGTTTAGAATTTAGCCAGAAAAGGGTTGATTTTCAAATCAAATATTTTATGGTGACAATTTGTTGCAACAATGGTTTGTTCTATTTTCCGAACTGAACGGTTTCTTCGATGTGCTTCAGTTCTTATTGTGATATTGCCGTTAGTGCCAATGGATGCATAAGAATCATAAGATCTTCCATCGTCCTATTCACTAGGACTTGAAAGTTGAAACCAGGTCCACTAGGGCAACTCGGCAACACTCTCTGGGGTGCAGACAACACTCTCTGGGGTCTTTTTATCGTCTGAATGTCCTTGACTACTCCCCTAAATTTCATCAGATTTTTCCTTCAATTCATTCATTCGATCGCAAAAGAATGCCTTATTATGTACTTATTGTATTGTATTGTACTATCCAATACCATCCAAACTACAGCTTGGAAGATCAGCGGCTGAAATTAATACAGTATACAAGGGCGTCAACCCATCCTAATAAATGGTGTAGGAGACGTCAAATTAGGAACGTCTGAAGCAAGGGACGTAAATATATTATTCAAGAGGGCGCGAGTGCTAAAAGGACAGGCTATTGTTTATTTACTGATTGACGTACTGACACAGATGGGATTCTGATTTCAATAAAACCCAAATGGAAAATTGGGACTCTGCCAGGATTTCAAGTTGAAAGTGGAAATTGGGGACCCCCTTCAGGCCCATCTTAAAGAGACACGTTTTCATTACAAGGACACACTTCGGATATGCAAAGACACCAGGGACCGGTTGTTCAAAACCCGGTTAACTTAACCCAGGGTTAACGCAAATTTTTACATCAATTTTTTTGGTAGCTTGTGTATAAAAGTTGAATATTATTTCCATAAGTATTTTCTGGTTCAATAGAAATCATATTTTATAAAGTTTTAAAACAAGCGGCGGTGTAAAAGCACGCAAACTAAAACAGCGGATTAAAATTTAACCCATGATTAAATTAGCGCTAACCCAGCTTTGAACAACCGGTCCCAGGAATAATTCGCGCCATATTTGCTTGAGCAGCTACATCAAACAGCCGCAGGTCAGTGTGTTCACTGTGTTGGTTACATAAAGAGTAGTTATTCCAGTGATTATAGTGGCACAATTGGCTATAGTTAACTACGATATGCCTACTGAAATGTAATTACAAATTTTCCTTAACCAGCTTATGGTGTTCATATAACATCTTACTTCCTCTTGGTAAACTAGAGATGTTGTGGAAGCTCTTCCATTTGTCGTGCTTCTCGTTTACCGAATGACAATAGATAATCAATACGCCTCTGACTATCAATATTGCAAAGTAAAAAAATCGATGGACCTGGCCCATTTTCCTTTTGGTAGGATTTAAACTTGTACGCGTCAATAAAATACCTACAATGTATGGTTACTCCCTTCAATTATAACTTTCGATTTTGTAAGCAGCTATGCACTTCAGACGATTTATAATTTTTTCGTCCGCATACGTCAACTAATTTCCTTGCACCTATGCTTCCGCTTGCATTACTATGCCCAGGTCTTCCATATTCGACCTCTTCTCTAGGTGTATGAAAACTGTTCAATAATTTTAAGCGTGTTTTTTCTTCCTCACGGGCCAGAGATCTAAGATATGATTGTCTTTGCTTTGCTTCACAGCTTAATCCTTGAACAAAATGTTCATAAGTGTTTCTTCCAAGATGGGATGGCTTGGGCACAAGAATTGGAAATGCTTGCGCACCTATTTGGCACAAAGAATGGCGTTGTGCAGCAGGTATTCTATCACAGGCAGCATTAACGGAGTTATTGCTTTTTTTGCTATGTCCCTCAGCTTGTTGGTCAATTGTTGTCAAAGATTGCCTCAAAAGTCTTGTAGCATCGTTCAACGGAGTTTGCCGTAGATAACACTTCATGCCTATGTCTTGCTGGTCAGACAGGACCTGGCGTCTGCAATTTGTGGGCATTCCAATAGCTGCTTTCGATTTGGGTTGAAATGCCATAGTTTATCGTTGAAAATCATCTGGTTACAACCTCACTATGCGTTAGCTGCATAAGTTACTTGTATAATTCTGATATCTTAAAGTGTGGTCGAAGATATGCCGTAACCTTGACAACAGGTTATGCATGGCTACCTCGGGTCGGTTGTATCAAGGCTGTATGTGTATGTAGTTTAAACGGTGGATAAGTTCAAAATAGAAAGCAAGTCTATCGTTTTATTCAACAAGCAAACTAAATGTTTTTTACCTTAATACAAAGATACTGTTTACAACTACATATTCAGTGCATAATAATCAAATCGACTCATTCAAGAGAGATGTAAGGGTGTTATTTAATTTTGACTCATCCACCGTTCAGGCTAAACGGACTTGATACAACCATCCCCTGCACATTAAATGTATAACTATTCCGTAACCCTTAACTTAAGAGAGCATTTTGTCCGAAAGTGCACCTTTTCAATGGCGATATCTTTACTCCATTAACTGTGCTTTATTTCAGTGCCCAAATACACTAGCCGATCGGCATGGAGTTGAGTTATTAGAGAGTTTAAAGGCCAAAACAGACAGCGATTTCGCAACGCGAAGTTTTTTATTTTCCAAAAGCAAATCATTTTTTAACCTATCATAATATTCTTGTAGATTACTTAACGATAATACATTTCGACTGCTCTGAAGTCCATAGATTTAAAAATTTTGCTGCCAGAATTTAATTTATATATGCAAACTTTTGGTCTAGTTCACACTAGCTCCTAAGAACTCGGGGATCCATTGTATTACTTTCCGATAGACAAAAGATTTTGCGCACCAGCGACCTCCGACAAAGAGAATCCCAGATTCTTAGGATAAGTGTGAACCAGGTTTTAAGGCGATTCTCTATTACGGCTTTTGAAGTAGAGAATCCCAGATTCTTAGGATAAGTGTGAACCAGGTTTTAAGGCGATTCTCTATTACGGCTTTTGAAAATCTGCCTCTTGCAACCGTGACGTGCCTGAAAAACAAAGCGCGCTGGTCAGTAATACATTTTGACTGCTCAGGCGTCCATAGAATCCAAATTTTGCTTCCAGAATTTAATTTATATGCTTATTTTCTCCATTTCTCCATTGAAATTTTGTCCATGCGACCGTGACGGGTCTGAAAAAAAAAGCGCGCTTCGCCCGCGCGGGCGTGGCGGACGCAATGGAGAATCGCATTTACGTGAAGCAGCAAACGCGAGGCGAAGGTAAATTTTAAGCTAAAAGGTAATACAGAGCAAATGAATCAAATAGATAAAGTTCGCCACTTTTGGCGAACTCGACCATGGTCGAATACGCCATTTTTCAGCAGACTCGACCATGGTCGAACAGGCCATTTTCCGGCGGACTCGACCATTGTCGAATACGCCATTTTGCGGCGGACTCGACAATGGTCGAATCGCCATTTTCCGGCGGTCTCGACAATGCTCGAATACGCTATTTTACGCTGGACTCGACCATGGTCGAATTAGCCGTTTTCCGGCGGACTCGACCATGGTCGAATACGCTGTTTTTGGCTAGACTCGAACATGGTTAAATACGCCATTTTCCGGTAGACTCAACCATGGTCAAATACGCCATTTTCCGGCGAACTCGACTATGGTCGAATTCGCCATTTTTCGGCGGACTCGACCATGGTCGATGTAGCCGTTTTCCGGCGGACTCGACCATGGTCAAATTCGCCGTTTTCCGGCGCACTCGACCATGGTCGAATTCAACATTTTCCGGCGAACTCGACCATGGTCGAATTAAACATTTTCCGGCGAACTCGATCATGGTCGAATTTGCCATTTTTCGGCGAACTCGACCATGGTCGAATACGCCATTTCCCGGCGAACTCGACCATGGTCGATGTAACCGTTTTAAGGCGGACTCGAACATGGTCGAATTCGCCATTTTCCGGCGGACTCGACCATGGTCGAATGCGCTGTTTTCGGGTAGACTCAAACATGGTCAAATACGCTATTTTCTGGCAGACTCAAGTCACTCAACCATGGTCAAATACGCCATTTTCCGGCGAACTCGACCATGATCGAATTCGTCATTTTCCGGCCAATTCGAGCATGGTCGTATTCGTCATTTTCCGGCCAATTCGACCATGGTCGTATTTGTCATTTTCCGGCCAATTCGACCATGGTCGAATAGGCCATTTTCCGGCGGACTCGACCATGGTCGAATACGCCGTTTTCCGGTACACTTGACCATGGTCGAATACGCCGTTTTCGGGTAGACTCGATCATGGTGGAATACGCCGTTTTCCGGTGGTCTGAAAATGTTGGGCTCGGTGTATTATTCGCACACTAGTCAAAAGTATGAGTGACACTCATTGTTATTTTAATTTCTACGATATGTTGATATTGTTTGTAAAAAAGTTTGTTTGTGAAACTTTTGCACAACGCTTTGAAGTACTTTATGCCTCGCAGATATTTAAAGCCATGACGTCATAGGGCCCCAGAAAAAGATTTTGCCCCGGGCCCCACAATTTCTCTCGGCGGCCCTGGTTGTGTCAAAGAAGTTGTGTTTATAAATCTAAATTACGCGTATGCATCAATTTAATGCATAAAGAAAAGAAAACGCAG